TAAAATTCCCATTCATATTTATCTCACTTCCTCTTCTTCTTCTTTTTTTAAGATGGAGTCTCACTCTGTTACCTGGGCTGGAGTGCAGTGGTGCAATCTCAGCTCACTGCAACCTCCGCCTCCCGGGTTCAAGCAGTTCTCCTGCCTCAGCCTCCCGAGCAGCTGGAATTACAGGCACAGGCCACCACATCCGGTAGTTTTTTATTTTATTTTATTTTTGTATTTTTGGTAGAGATGGGGTTTTACCATGTTGTTCAGGCTGGTCTTGAACTCCTGACCTCAGGTGATCTGCCTGCCTTGGCCTCCCAAAGTGCTGGGATTATAGGTGTGAGCCATTGTGCCCGGTCTATCTCACTTCTTTAAATGTCTGTTTTTTAGTGTCTATGAAGCTACCAAGGCTCAGAGAGGTTGAGTAACTCGTGCAAGGTCACACAGCTACTAAGTGTGCCTGACCTCAAAACCCCGCTGTGCTCTTCACATATGCTGAATCTTGTGCAGACAGATAAGGGCTTGCGTGGGGGCAGAGGCAAGTCTAGACGAGGGTGGCTGGGAGAGCAGGCAGCTCCTGGCTGTTTCTGCCACTGTGGGCAGAGGTTAAGGAGCCTGCCCAGGCCTGTTCACTAGGCCTGCAGGGCCTGTTGGGAAACATGTGGAAGCAGGAAGCCCTAGTGAGGACAGGCCTGCTGTACAAAGTGCCTCGTCCCAGGCTTCACCATTCAGCCTTGCTTGTGAGCAGAATCCCGAGGCAGGGATAGGGAGGACCAGGGGCTGAGAAGTCAGGATGAGACGACAGAGAGGGATAGGGATGAGTTGGGGGTGTCACTCAGGCTCTGGGTACAGCTGGCAAGGGTAGGTCAGCTGCTCTGCCACCCACTCACACTCATGCCAACTCCATGGCCAAGGGAACCCACCTGCCAGCCCCGCCCTGCCTTCCCACGCTCCACTGTGCTGGGTTTAGGGGTGATTTTACCTTCTGATTTATACCTCTACAGAAGGCAATTACTGGCTGGGCAAAGTGGCTCACGCCTGTAATCTCAGCACTTGGGAGGCTGAGGCAGGAGGATCACCTGAGGTCTGGAGTTTGAGACCAACCTGACCAACATGGAGAAACCCCGTCTGTACTAAAAATACAAAATTAGCCGGGCATGGCGGCACGTGCCTGTAATCCCACCTACTTGGGAGGCTGAGGCAGGAGAATTGCTTGAACCTGGAGGTGGAGGTTATGGTAAGTCAAGATGGTAACATTGTGCTTCAGCCTGGGCAACAAGAGTGAAACTCTGTCTCAAAAAAAAAAAATACACACACATACACATATACATATATACACACACATACATATACATATATACACACACATACACACATATACATATATACACATACATATACATATACATATATACACACATATACATATATACACATACATATATACACACATACATATACATATATACACATATACATATATACACATACATATACATATACACACATACACACATACATATACATATATACACATACATATACATATATACACACATACACACATATACATATACATATACATATATACACACATACATATATACACACATACACACATACATATACATATATACACACATACACACACATACACACACATATACATATATACACATACACATATATACATATATACACATACATATACATATATACACATACACACATGCATATACATATATACACACATACACACATATACATATATACACATACATATACATACATACACACATACATATACATATATACACATGCATATACATATATACACACACATACATACATATATATATATCACCTAGACAGAAAAATGCGTATCTCCTAACAGTATAGCATGATGAAGTTTTACAAACTGAACACAGATAAGGGTAACTAGAACTCAGTTTAAGAAACAAAACATCCCGGCCAACATAGTGAAACCCCATCTTTTCTAAAAATACAAAAATGAGCCGAGTGTGGTGGTGCACGCCTGTAATCCCAGCTACTCAAGAGGCTGAGGCGAAAGAATCTCTTGAACCCAAGAGGTGGAGGTTGCAATGAGCCAAGATTGTGCCACGGCACTCCAACCTGGTGACAGAGCGCCCCGTCTCAAAAAGAAAAAAAAGAAACAAAACATTTATCAGCCCCTAGAGAACCCCCCATTCCCCTTCTAGTCACTATCCCTAATCGGTAAAAGCCATCCTAACTTCTAACGCCATAGATTTGTTTTGCCTGTTTTTGAACTTTATACACCTGGGATCACCTGGTCGCTGTCCTTTTGTGTCTGGTTTCTATTTGCTCAGCATTAGGCTCTGGCTGTGTAGTGATCCCCCCATCACATGCAAACACCACAGTTTATCGAATGTTCCCGGTGCTATCTTTTGAGTAATGCCACTGTGAATATCTGTGTATGTTTCTTTGCTTTTCTGTTGAGTATATATCTAGGGTATGCATGTGTTCAACTTAAACTCTTTTCACTTTTTTTTTTTAGATGAAGTCTTGCTCTGTCACCCAGGCTGGAGTGCAGTGGTGTGATCTTGGCACACTGTAACCTCTGCCTCCCGGGTTCAAGCGATTCTCCTGCCTCAGCCTCCAGACTATCGGGGACTACAGGTGTGCACTACCACACCCAGCTAATTTTTGTATTTTTTTTTAGTAGAGACAGGGTTTTGCCATGTTGGCCAGGCTGGTCTTGAACTCCTGACCTCAGATGATCTGTCTGCCACAGCCTCCCAAAGTGCTGGGATTACAGGCATGAGCCACCTGGCCCAGCCTTTTTTTTTTTTTGAGACAGTTTCGCTCTTGTTGCCCAGGCTGGAGTGCAGTGATGCAATCATAGGTAGCTGCAGCCTCCAACTCCTGGGCTCAAGTGATCCTTGCACTTCAGCCTTCCAGAGCGTTGGGATTACAGGCGTGAGCCACCATGCTAAATCTGCTCTACATCAAGTCTGCCTCTCTTGGGAGGCTAGCAGCCAGCCCTACCCCACAGGGATCCCTGCTCCTCCGACCTCCTCTAATACATGTTCTTTCCTCTGTTTGGCACTCAGCAGTTACCTCTGTCCAGTACCACTTGGATGTCTAGAAGGGAGCCAGGGCCCGGACAATCATGCACAGATGCTAACTGTGGTACCAGGAAGTTCCTGGTACATATGATTAAAGCGATAAGATCTCCTTATAAGCTTAAAATATGGCATATTAATATCCAGTATGCATTTACAAATTAAATATATCCCCCCTTGAAAACTGTAGTATGCCAGAGAGGGAGGGATTTGAGGGTAGGGTGGGAAAGGGAAGGAGAAGCACCTCTTCCTTATCTGTCTTAAGAATCTCTCATAGAGACAAAAGACCATTGCATTTGGAGATGCCTCCTGATTTCAGCTCTAGTTCTGCCATTTAGTAACTGTAAAGTCTTGGGCAGATCAGCTCATCTCTTGGGGCCTCTGCTGATTAAATGAAGATGATACCATCCTTTTTTTTTTTGAGATGGAGTTTCACTCTTGTCCCCTAGACTGGAGTGCAATGGCAGATCTCGGCTCACTGCAACCTCTGCCTCCCAGGTTCAAGCGATTCTCCTGCCTCAGCCTCCTGAATAGCTGGGATTACATGCATGTGCCACCACACCCGGCTAATTATTGTATTTTTAGTAGAGACGGGTTTCACCGTGTTGGCCAGGCAGGTCTCAAACTCCTGACCTCAACTGTTCCGCCCACCTCCTCCTCCCAAAGCGCTGGGATTACAGGCGAGAGAGCCATTGCACCTGGCCTTAGATGATGCCATCCTTGAGGGATGTGGGGAATCCACAAAACCTCATCAATATGCGACTGTCAGTGGTAACCTGTGAGGTGTGTGTATGTGCACGCACACTTGGTGAGAATTGGTTTATTAAATTATCAGCCCCTTAGAATACTGAGCTGGTAAACAGACCTTATCTTTTGATAAATAATTAAAGGGATAAGCTCATACAAATTCATAATTAGCCGGGCTTAGTGCTCCCCGTGTGTGCCAAGCTACTGGAGAGGCTGAGGGAGAGGATACTTGAGCCCAGGAAATTGAGGCTGCAGTGAGCTATGATTGCACCACTGCATTCCAGCCTGGGGGATAGAGCGAGACCCTGTCTCTCAAAAAAAGATAGAGAAAAAGAATTCCTGAAGAAAAAGGACTCAAAAGGAATCGAAGTCATTAGTGTCCTTGACAGGCTTCCCCCAGCTTCTCTTTCCCAAGGGTCTCCTGGTAAAAATGCCCATGTCCCCACCATACCAGACCCCTTAAGTCATGAGACTTCAATATGAAATCGGGAAAAAGTAAAACAAAGAAGAAAAGAGAAAGGGTATTCAGAAGCAGAGAAGAGGAGTTCCCAGAGGACAGAGGCTTATCCCCTGAGGACCACGGTCATCTCCAGCAGTGCGGGGTGAGGACCTGGGGATGGGAGGGGACTGTGACAGGTGTGGCTCCCACATCTCAGAGGGCTCGGCTGAGACCTCCGCCCTGGGTTCAGACCTGGGCACTCCTGAGGGAGTGGAATGGCAGGGGGACCCGCCTGCCCACCCAGAACCATGACCTCTGGATGTGTTTTCCCCATAGCTATCCCCCTTCACCCAAAACATGACTGGGCTGAAGAGCCAGCTCCCCTGGGGTGACCTCTGCTGAAGCCACACTCAGAGGAAACCTCTCACTCCTTGACCCACGGGGAGGGGCAATGGCGAGGGGAGTGAGTCCTTGAACTTTCTGCCCAGGAATTCCCAGATATTCCTGTGCCCAGTATTGCCCTAGGGAAGACAGAGCTTGGGAAAAACGAGGAGGCCTCTGCGGCACTGAGGGTCCCGTCTGCTGGCAGAGACAGATAACGGCATGTGTCATGTGTGTCACGTGCGGAGGCAGCCGTTTAGTGCCACTAAGAATAGTCAGGGTCGTGGGAGGAGAAGGCTCGGACAGACCCCAGGGACCAAGGGAACTCAGGGAGTTATTTGAGGTCGGAGGTTAGGGAAGGCCCTCCGGATGTGGCGGTGGGAAGGGGGTGTCTCCACTGGGGTCTCTGTGCCCTTGGCGCCTCTGTCCCTACTACCTGGGACTGGGTCTCACCGCAGGGTCGCCTCCCTGTCCCCGCCATTCCCGGCGGCTGGCCCCGGATCCTCCCCGGCGGCGGTTCTGGTGCGGCCCGCCAGGGTCCCGCAGGGGGCCGGGCCCGGGTCTCCTGAGGGCACAGCAGAGGAGCCAGGGTGTCTAGCACCTTGACCCTGTGGGCGGGTGTCCCCAGGCGGCTCGTGACTCCGCCCCGCCCCGCCCCGCTTTGCCTGCGCCGCAGACACCCGCCTCGTCCACCAGTCCTCCGTGCGCGCCGGGCCCGAGCCCACGGAACCCACCGGGCCCACGTAGCCCAGGTAGCCCATGGAACCCGCACGGAGCGCGCCCCGCGGGGGCGAGGCGCTGCTGCGGGAGCTGGAGGTACTAGTCCAGGATGTGGTGAGGACGAGCTCCTGGTGGGAGCGCCACGGAGTGGACTGCGCCATCCTCGCGCTCAGCCTCCTTGCCTTGCCGGCCGGTGAGGGACAAGAGGACCTGGCAACCCGGCCGGGCTGCGGGTGGGGGCGGGTGCGGCGGAGGTGGCGGCGCGGGCTCTGGGAGTGCAGCCGGGTAGAGTGGACCGGCGGCCGCAGGCAGGCGGAGGTGGCTGGGTGACCCCAGGATGGAGGGTCACACCAGAACCCGAGTCTGGCCTGGTGTGTCCTGCCCTGTGTTCCCTAGGAGCGGGTCGCAGGAGGAGGGAGGGAGTCTGATGGCAGGAGGGTGGTGGAAGGGAAAGTCGAGGTGGGAGGGGAGTGGCGGGAGAAATGAGGTGTGACTGGAGAGGGGGTGGGAGTTTCCCCTGGCACTTTCCTGGTCTGGAACACCCATGGTACCTGAGGCCCCCTCACTGCTTTGGCTGGGGGCCCAGGAGGGAAACCACGGGAGAGTCAGGACCACTGAAGGGGCAATCCTGGTCCCCCTCAGTCCACAGTGGAACCTGCCTCACCTCTGCCTGTGGCTGACCCCGGAGTCTGGTCCACTTTAATTTGAGCTCCCAGGGTAGGGGTTGAGGTGTTTGGGCCCAGATCACCCAGAACTAGAGAAAGACCCGGTCCCCTCTCCTCCCCACATAGGGTTCCTGTGCCTGCGCTCCGAGAATGCCCTGGTCTTTTCGTCTGGCATCACCGTCTTGGGTGTGTGCCACTATACGCTCACTGTCAAAGGCAGCCACCTGGCCACTCACGGGGCCCTGACGGAGTCCAAACGCTGGAGCAAGATCTGGCTGCTTTTCTTTGTGGAGGTGAGCCTGGGAGAAGGAGGATGTGAGCAGCTGCTGGGACCATGTGGGCAACCTCATTCTTCTGTGCAAGCAAGTGGGTGTGTCCAGCTGTGCGTGTGCCCGCGGGGCAGGTGGCTGCGGCTGATGGTATGCGAGTCCACAGGTGCAGTACGCACTACAGTGTGTCAGTGCACTTCTCCAAGCCCTTGAGAGAGTGTTTGCACCCCATGATAGAAAACTGCACGATGAGTATGCGACTATCTTGGCCCACAGGTCCAACCACTGGGGCCTCCAGGTTTTGCAATCGGGTTTAAAATGTGAACCACTGACAGAAGGGGGGGGAGGGGCCCTTCACTCCGGATGCTGCTCCTCTGATGCCAGGCCATGGTCCAGCCTTTCTGAGAAGCCCCCTGCTCCCCGGGGTCAGCTCCAGGAAGGACCCACCTCACCTGACCCTTGCCCTCTCTTCTTCCGCCCCTTGCCAGTTCTACCTTGGCCTTCCTACCTTCCGGCAAGGCCAGGAAGGCAAAGGTTTCTGACCAGCTTGTCTTTCTCTCTTAACTGGTCTCCAAGCCTCTCCAGTTCCTCTGCTGAACTTGCTCCCTCCTCGTTTCCAGGGGGACCGTTGCCTGGCCACCCAGGTGATGGTCCCCCTGAATAAATAAATGGCCACACCTTATGAATAAATAGGAAAGCTGGGACCAGAAACAATTCTCTTTTTGGAAGGACTGGTCATTGTGACCAAATAACTTAATTATTAAGTTTTTATAAAGTTACATGACTTTATATAACTATCTACACACACATATATCTGTATATCTATAATACTATCCACTCAGCTGAGTGGATGAAGCATTTCTCCCCTAGCACTATCATATCCCCTGTGCCTTCTCCTTCCCTGCCCTTCTCACCAGCACACATCTAAAGTGCTGAAGACAAGAGGAACTGACAGGCTTCTGATCCTCAGGGTCAATATCAAGACAATTTATTTCCCTGGGAGCCCTGAGCAGTGGTCCTGGCCAGACTCTTAGACACTGGCCAGGCCCTGGACTCTGGGTCAGCCGCCCACCAAGTTTGTAATCCACAGAGAGGCAAGGGAGACACTGGACTGTGCTGGTGACATGGACTGTGTCATAACGCTGGGTCACAGGGCAGAATGAGCTATGTTTGCATTGTTTAAAAAAAGCTGTACCAAGTGCCAGGAGCCTGGAGGCAGCTGAGGATGAGGAGCAGGTGCCAAGACTTTGGGACTGCTTGGCTGTAAGGGATTTACTGAACAGAGCTAACCTAGTGGTTCTCAAACTTTGGTGTTCGAGACCCAGCTGGGCTGTGGGTGGGGGCAGGTGCGGCAGAGGTGGTGGCGCTGGCTGTACTGCAGCAACCAGTGGGTGCACAGCTGGGCAGAGTGGACTGGCGGCGGCAGGCAGGAGGAGGCGGCCAGGTGACTGCAGGATGGAGGGTCACACCTGAACCAGAGTCTGGACTACTGTGTCCTGCCCTGTGTCCTCTAGGAACGGGGCGCAGGAGGAGGGAGGGAGTCTGGTGGCAGAATGACCTGAAGGCCCAGGCTTGCTAGAGAAGCAGACTTGGGCCACTGTGTTGTCACCAAGTTCCACAGGTGAATCTGATACACAACACCGAAGTATTATTCCCACGTAGTAACTATCATGTGTGCCAAATGAAGGCAGGAGGCCAAGGACGCCTCCTCTGAGAAGTTTTCCTGGGCTTTTCTGCTGGAGCTCTCCACCCGAAACCCAGCATGAAGGAGATACCCAGGTAGCCTTAGGGCTGCATTCTGCTTGTGAATGCTGTCTTTTCCCCATAAGCCCCGTGGCTTCATCTTTTTGACTCTGTCTCTTCAGCTTCTGGCACAGACCTGAGCTCTTGCTAGGCCTTCTATCAATATTGGTTGACGATGACCCTGCAGTTGTCTAGGGAACCAGGTCCAGGCCCGCGAGCCCCCTGGAAGCTGGGGAGGGAAGGCTTGGCTCCTGCCTCATGTGGTGTGACACCTGGCTGGTGGACTGCAGTGGGCTGAGGAACAGGGCCTGAGTAGTTTATCACTCAAGCCTCTGACTAACCTACATGGGATGCGTCTTGATTTTTTTCATCCCACAGTTTTGCTCCAGCTACCCTCTGGGAGGGCCCAGTCCCAGTATGGGGGAAGGGGTGGACCAGTCTTCCCAATCTGGCTGGTATCGGTGAGGCAAGTGCAGTGCTGGAGGAGGGTGCTGGTCTTGTCTGCCAGGGAGGGTAGTGGCGAGGACAGTGTCTGGGGCTCATACCTGTAATCCCAGCACTTTGGGAGGCTGAGGCAGGCAGATCACCTGAGGTCAGGAGTTCAAGAGCAGCCTTTGAAGCAGTGGTTTCTGGCTCATGCTGCATCCCATGCTGCACAAGGGTTCAAAGACCTAAGAGGCAACGGTGGGGGATAAAGAAAGACACAGACATAGACATAGAGAAAGCTGGGCCAGGCGGTCTGGGAAGTGAGGACGTCAGTCTCTCTGACCGGCCTGTCTGAAGAGTACTTTATTTTATATGTTTCCAAAGCACATAGCAGAGGGAGGTAGCAGTTACTTAGAACAGCCTGTGGTTATAATTCTCATACTTCAGTTCACATACTTCAGCTAACAACTATCTTGCAGCAAGGTCAGTGAAAGCTGGTTATCTCTCCAGGCCTGTCTCTGTTCTATTCCGAGACATACACATCCTCCTATTATGGTTTTACTTCTCTGGAGTTCACCCCAAGTTCACCGCAGCCTTGCTGCTCATCCCCCCAGAGAGGGTGGGCTACTCTGGCTCTCTGTGGTTGGAATCCCAGCTCCACTGGCTGCCCTGACCTTGAGCAAGTTATTTAATTCAACATTTAAGTGTTACTTTCCTCGCCTAATAAACAGGAGAAATAACAGGACCCCCCTCATGTGGCCAGCATGTGGATTAAACGTAGCAGTGCAGACCTGAGGGGAGGGCCTGATGCTGCCAGGCTTCGCAGTGCAATGGTCACTTTCTTTCTCTGGAGTTAGCGTGGTCAGCTGCGTGGAAAGGCGAGCAGTTGTTGTTTACTTTGTTCGTCATTTTTTTTTTTTTTTTTTGAGACAGAGTCTCGCTCGGTTGCCCAGGCTAGAATGCAATGATGCAATCTTGTCTCACTGCAACCTCCACCTCCCGGGTTCAAGCAATTCTCCCACCTCAGTCTCCCCAATAGCTGGGATTACAGGCATCTGCCATCATGCTTGGTTAATTTTTTGTGTGCATTTTTGTAGAGATGGGTTTTCACCATGTTGGTCAGGTTGGTCTTGAACTCCTGACCTCAGGTGAGCCACCTGCCTCGGCCTCTCAAAGTGCTGGGATTACAGGCATGAACCACAGTGCCTGGCCTGTTGTTGTTGTTGTTTTTTTTACTTCAAGGTTGCAAAGCTTGACAGAGCTGTGTATATGTTGGGGGGTTGGATGCTGGTCCTCTGGGCCTCTGCAGGGTGCAGAGGACAAGTTCTTGCTGCCTAGGACCTCAGAGGATGCCCTGGGACCCTTCCTAGATCTCTGACTCTCCTCCTACGTCTTGGTGTCTTCTCTCTTAGGATCTTTCCTTGGGGGGTACCTGTGCTCTTCCCAAACCTTGACGCTCAGGAGACATCATCACTGCAGAATAATGTAGCCTATAGACCTAGGTTCTTTTTGGTGTTTGGCAAATACTGCAGCCTCAGGCATTACCTGAGTATCACTGGCTCTCCTGGGCGCTCAGCTTTTACTGGGATTGTCTCAGGGTTTACCAGCTCAAAGCTGGGCCATGGGATCTGGGGGAGGGGCTGACAGGCTGGAGGGGGAGGCTTCCACTCCAGGCTGTTTCTCTCCTAAAGTATCCAACCTCCGAAGCCCCATTTCTGTTCTACATAGGAAAGTTCTATCCCTGACCTTCTCTCCTGCCTCTGATAACCCTGGCCTGGCCCAGCGAGGAGAGTACCTGCCCAGCCCTGTCCTGGGTCACCATGGGGACTGCCAGGCGATAAGGGGACTGTACCATGCTCAGATGGCCACGGGAAGGTGGGGGGCAGCGTGGGGTGGGCAGGCCCCCGTAATTTAAGCCCTGAAGCTTGGGAAGGATTAACTCCTGAAATCAGATGGCTTTGGGGACTCTCCTGCATGTCACTCACAATCCAAGATGCTCCCCTGAGTGGGAGGGAACAGGCCCTGCTGGTTCCTAAGCTCCGGTGGTGTGTCCGCCTCAAACCCTTGTGAAGTTGGCTTTGTGACTCAGGGGCGGGGCCCCCGATGCTGGAGCTCTGCCCTGGGGGAGGGGTGCCTCATAGGGGAATGCCATCGCCTTCCTTCAGGCCTCTTGTGGGGGTGGAAACAGGGCCAGGAACCCCCAGCCTAGTCGTGATCCTGGAACGTTCTCTTCTCACAGGAGTTCAATGTGGCCATTGTCCTCCAGGCTGTCTCTCCAAACTTCTCTCTGCCTGTTCCCATGCAAACCCCGAGGGCTGTTGCTTAAGTTCAACTATGACTTCTTATCTTTCTAATCTTTAATGTTTATTTAGAGGGAAAAGTCAGATTTGCAGTACAAAATATACTTTTGTAAAACCTTTTTTTTTTTTTTGAGGCGGAGTTTCGCTCTTGTTACCCAGGTTGGAGTGCAATGGCTCGATCTTGGCTCACTGCAACCTCCGCCTCCTAGGTTCAGGCAATTCTCCTGCCTCAGCCTCCTGAGTAGTTGGGATTACAGGCACGCGCCACCATGCCCAGCTAATTTTTTTTTTTTTTGTATTTTTAGTTAGTAGAGACGGGGTTTCACCATGTTGACTAGGATGGTCTCGATCTCTCGACCTCGTGATCCACCCGCCTCGGCCTCCCAAAGTGCTGGGATTACAGGCGTGAGGCACTGCGCCCGGCCTACCCTTTTTATTTTTAAAATAATTATAGATTCACAGGACTTGCAAAAACAGGACAGAGAGGTCTGGTGTAGCCTTTATCCAGCTTCCCCCAATAATTACCTTTATCTAAGTGTCGTTCAATATCAAAACCAAGGAAATGGACATTAGTAGTGTGTGTGTGTGTGTGTGTGTGTGTGTGTGTGTGTTTCCCAGCTCCTCTTACACCACGCTCCAATAGATGCTGGGGACATAACTGTGAATAAGACCCTGTTCTAGTTCCCCAGGGACTCAGAGTCAAGTGTAAAAGAGACACATACACATGACATTAAAATAATAAAAAATCCTGATCTCACTGGCTAACGCTTACTGGCTGCTTCCTGCATATTTTATGTAAATTACCTAATTTCATAGTCACACCTCCCTTCAAGGGTGAAATTATTATTACCCTCACTTTGTAGATGAGGAAACCCTGATCTGGGAGGTTAAGCCACTTGTTGAATGCCACATCAGCTGGTAGGTGCCCGGGGCAGGCAGAATGTGATGAGGGCACCAACCGGGGTGGAGTGAAGGCTCTGAGAGCTGGGGTGGGAAGAGCAGGGCAGGGACATTGGGCCATGTCTGGAGATATTTTTGGCTATTAATACTGGGGTGTGGGCCAGGCTCAGTGGCTCCCACCACCTTGGGAGGCCGAGGCGGGTGGATCACTTGAGCCCAGGAGTTTGAGACCAGCCTTGGCAACACAGCGAGAGCCTGTCGCAGAGGACCTGGAACTTGGTCTTGTGGCCAAAGGTGGTCATCTAAGTTGGGAGTTTTCAAAACCAACTTATTTTTTGAATAGGTAATGTATTTATGTAATTCAGAATTCAAAAAGCATCGGGAGAGGTCTTCATCCTGCCCCTTTCTGAAGATGTCCCATTTCCTCTGGGAGATGATGGCTGCAGGTTGTCAGTCTCTTCCATGTTCTTCTCTAATATTTTCCTCTTTTAGTTTTTTTTTGAGACAGAGTTTCACTCCGTTGTCCAGGCTGGAGTGTGGTGGCATGGTCTCGGTTCACTGCGGCCTCTGCCTCCTGGGTTCCAGCGATTCTCCTACCTCAGCCTCCCAAGTAGCTGGGACTACAGGTGTGCACCACCACACCTGGCTAATTTTTGTATTTTTAGTAGAGATGGGTTTCCTCATGTTGGCCGGGCTGGTCTTGAACCCTTGACCTCAAGTGATCTGCCTACCTTGGCCTCCCAAATTGCTGTGATTATAGGCATGAGCCACTGTGCCTAACCCCTCTTTTAGTTTTTACACAAACAGTACCCTACAGGATTAAAACCATAGCTGTGAAATTATGATGCAGTGTTGGGTTTTAACTGGGTCACTCTATTGGATTTGCGGTGGATGAGGCAGGACACGGGATGAAGGCTGTTGGCATGGGCAGGCCGAGAGATGGTGAGGACAGAGGGCAGGGATGGGGTTCAAGGAGGAGGTTTAGGTGGAGGTTGTCTAGGTGGGATCAGCAAGGAGGAGGAGGAGGTGCAGATTGGCAGGCAGCAGGAATGGACAGGACGAGAAAGAGGGGCTGCAGGACAGTCCAGGGGCAGCGTTGGCCTGGCAGAAGAGCTTCCAGGCTGGATCTGCGCAGCTTCTGTTCCTCTCTCCAGACTTGCTGGTTCCCAGGGCATCAGCAGCTCCTTCACATCTGGCTCCAGAATGCTGGGTGCTGTTGGGGCTCCATGGACCTCAGCAGGAAGTTTTCTAGGTAAAATATAAAATGCCCAGTGACATGATTTGGATGTTTGTCCCCCTTAAATCCCAGTTTGAAATGTAATCTTTAAATGTAGGTTTTCTTAAGAAAAGCCTTTCACCGGGCGCAGTGGCTCACGCCTGTAATCCCAGCACTTTAGGAGGGCGAGGCGGGTGGATCACTGTTAGGAGTTCAAAACCAGCCTGACCCAGATGGTGAAAGCCCGTCTCTACTAAAACTGCAAAAGTTAGCCAGGTGTGGTGGCAGGCGCCTGTGATCCCAGCTACTTGGGAGGCTGAGGCAGGAGAACCGCTTGAACCCCAGGTGGCAGAGGTTGCAGTGAGCTGATATCACGCCACTGCACTCCAGCCTAGGTGACAGAGTAAGACTCCATCTCAAAAAAAAAAAAAAAAAGCCTTTGAGTTACAGGTCAGGTGAGTTGGTTTTGGACGTACCAGTAGTTCTGCTGGTGCAAGAGAGACTTGTCTCCGGGCAGGTAAACTCAAAAGTTTGTCAACGAAGGCAGTAACCCCAGCGGTCAGCTGTTGCTGCTGCACCAACAGTGGGGAGGAGGCGGGGCCTTGTGGGAGGTGATTGGATCATGCAGGTGTTTCTCTTGAATGAGTTTGCAGCATCCCCTTGGTGTTGTCCTGGTGAGAGTGAGGGTGAGTTCTCAAAAGATCTGGCCGTTTATACCGGCCTGTAATCCCAACATTTTGGGAGGCCAAGGTGGGTGGATCACTTGAGGTCAGGAGTTCGAGACCAGCCTGGCCAACATGGCAAAACCCTGTCTCTACTAAAAATAGAAAAAATTAGCTGGGCATGCTCTGCTACTCAAGAGGCTGAGGCAGGAGAATCGCTTGAACCCAGGAAGTGGAGGTTGTAGTGAGCTGAGATCACGCCATTGCACTCCAGCCTGGGCGACAGAGAGAGACTCAGAAAAAAAAAAAAAAGAAGAAGGTCTGGTCATTTAAAAGTGTGTGGCACCCCTGCCCCTGCCCCCATCTCACTGCTCCTGCTTTCAGCATGTCACTGCCTGCTCCCTCTGCCTTCCCCTTGGACTTCTGCCACGATTGTCGTGATTATGATCTGCTATGATCATAATCGTCCTGAGGCCTCCCTACCAAGCTTCCGGTGCAGCCTGCAGAACCTGAGCTCATTAAACCTCTATTCTTTACAAACTACCCAGCCTCAGATATTTCTTTAGCAATGGCAGAATAGCCTAACACACACTGATACATTTGAATTTCAGACAAACAACCGATATTTTTGTATGAGTATATCCCAAATATTCCATGTAGCTGTTGTTTATCTGAAATTCAGAATTAAGAGAGCATCCTGTATTTTCATTTGCTCCACCTGGCCGTCTTGCGCAGGGAGAATACAAGTCTTCAGGTGCAAGTCCCCAGGGAACTCTCCCGGCTGGCTCTGGGGCAGGATCTGTGTGAATGCAGCCATGTTTTAGCCACCTTCGGGATGAGAGCGGGACCCTGGTGAGGGCCACAGCAAGAGTAGCCCTTGAGAGCACCTTATTCTCATGGGAGCAGGCCCTGCACGGTCAGCATTGAGCCCATCAAATGGTGCTGAGGGCATTCTCTTCCCTTTCCCAGGGACAAGGCCCTGGGAACCCCACAGGTGTAGCCCGGTGTTGGGCACCATCAGTGGTCAGACAATGCTTATATGAACAAACAACTGCATGAAAGAATAAATTGGGCTGGGCGCGGGGCTCACACGTGTATTCCCAGCACTTTGGGAGGCCGAGGCGGGTGGATTACATGAGGCCAGGAGTTTGAGACCAGTCTGGTCAACATGGTGAAACCCCATCTCTACTAAAAATACAAAAATTAGCTGGGTGTGGCAGCAGGCACCTGTAGTCCCAGCTACAAGGGAGGCTGAGGCAGGAGAACCCGGGAGGCAGAGTGTGGGAAGTAGAAAATTTCCTCTTTAAAGTTTCCTTTCTTGTTAAAGAATAGGTGTGCTAATCACTGTTTGTTAAGCCCTATCCTATGTAGCTGTTAGACATGCCGTGCTTATAGGCACATAGTATATTCTATGTCCTTGTACTTTAGCCAAGCTATCTGTGCTGGACGTGCTCACAGGCATGTCCCAGCTCTCCATTGTTTTTTCCTGTTTAGAAAAGTTGTAAGTTGTTAGCCAATCGGGTTTTAGTTTAGATTGTGAGGTCTGGCTCCAGCCAACAGAGATCAGACACAGCGGTAAGGACCACCCCACATTCATAAGGGATAAACTTGTCTGCTTTCCTTTGTTCATTGTACTCTCGTGGCAAGATGGCTGGTGAGGGTACCTTTCCAGCAGTCCAGGAAGTAAACACTGTGCTGCTGAGAGATCCTTTGTCTCAGTGCTGATTTTTCTTTGTGGCACTGGGCATCTGTTTCCAATGAAGGTTGCCATGAGCTGTGGTTTCGCCACTGTACTCAAGCCTGGGCAGCAGAGTGAGTTCCGTCTCATAAAATAAAAATAAAAACAGATAACCTTTTTCAGCAAGACCATCCATTTTCCAACTAACTCAGCAGCATGTGGTCACCCCCCACCTCCCTTGGGAAGTGTGTGCCTGCAGGATGCCGAGCCTGGTGCAGTGAGCCCTCCACAGGGGGTGCCCGACTATCTTTACCTGGCTTGCAGTGAGTGGTACTGGGAAATTTTTCACGTCATTCCAGAAACAGTCAGGCAGCGTCTTCAATAAAATTAGCCACATTTTCTGTCCTAGATAAAATATTGGAAGAGGCTTGCATCTGCATACCATTTGCATATATCTGCTTAAGAAACACCTTAGCGTGGCTTTTGCATTCCAGACTGACTGCTCTCTTAGGAGTCAGAGCTGTGCTGCTGCTCAGAGCGCTTCGGAGAATCCCACCGGGGATCCATGCTGGAGAAGTCACCTCTAGGGAGAAGCTCTCGGGCTCCCATCAGGGCACCGCCCCCACCTTGTGGACTCTTCAGGGGATGGTGTTCCTGCACTCTCACCCAACTCCTGCTGCCCCTCCTGGCTGCTGCTCCAGGCTCAGAGTGCTCAGTGTTATGAAGGACCAGATGCTTCTAAGAGAAACGCACACAAAATCATTGCAGTGGATGCTGGGATCATCCCCCGAAGTGCCTCCAGTCACGACAGCCTGGGTAGTCACTGGCCGATTGGCACTCCAGGGTTCCAGCTTCCCACCCCCAAAGGCTTTGCAGAGCCTCGCCAAATGGACGGGCTTGTATTAACTGGCTGCCACTCCGTGGTGATAGATCCCTGAGAGCTGATGGTCAAAGCTGATTAGCTGGGGCTGTGATGGAGGACGGCCCTGGACATGCAGGGGTTGAGGAGGCAGGCGTGTTCTCAGGGCTCTCAAAGGTTCTGCCTTTCCCCACTGTGCCTGACATGAACCCCAGCATCCTTTCTGGCTCTCTCCTCCAGGTATGCACCGCCTTCACTGCAGAGCACGCCACACACGGGCATGTCAAGATGCACCATGCCTACACCAATGTGGTGGGGCTGGGGGACTCCAGCACGTGGAGGCTGCCTTGCCTCAACCGCTATGTCTACATGTTCCTTGCTCCTCTCCTCCTCCCTGTTGCCACGCCACTGGTGGCTGTTGGTGAGTACCAAGAGAGCCTGGTCTGGGGTGCCCTGCATGGACCTGGTTCCTCTGCTCTCCTTGCCTGCCTGGCTTCATGGAGGTAGCTTGTAGAGGATGGCCCGAGAAAGACTTGCCGAGACAGCCTGGCAGGGTAGAGAGAGCGTGGGACCTGGAGCCAAGTCTGGCTTTGCCACCTACTAGCTGGGGACCCTGAGCAGATAACCAAACCTCTCTGAGCCTCGGATCCTCTACCTGTTCCTCAAGTTTGGTGTGAAGAAAATGAGGCCTAGGTATAAAAAATGTTTTGCAGGGGCCAGGCATGGTGGCTCATGCCTGTAATCCTAGTGTTTTGGGAGGCTGAGGCAGGTGGATGGCCTGAGCTTAGGAGTTTGAGACCACCCTGGGCAACATGGTGAAATCCCACCTCCACTAAAATAAAACAAAATTAGCTGGACGTGGTGGTGGGGGCCTGTAGTCCTAGCTACTTGGGAGGCTGACTGAGGCAGGAGAATCACCTGAACCCAGGAGGTGGAGGTTTTAGTGAGCTGAGATCTTGCCATTGTAACTCCAGCCTGGGTGACAGGCTAGACTCTATCTCAAAAAAAAAAAAAAAATGCTTTGCAGCTGCCTTGCACAAATAATACTTCATGTTAACAGCTTTGATGTCTGGGGAGCGATGTTGTATGGTGGAGGAAGCAGGAGGGAGGGAGCAGCTAGACCTGGGTTTAAATCTCACAGCTTGACCTTCATCAGATTGCTTCCTGTTTCTGTCTTTGTTTCTTCTTCTTCTCCTTCTTCCTCCTCCTCTTCCTCTTCTTCTCCTCCTCCCTCCTCCTCCTCCCCTCCTCCCTCCTCCCTCTTCCTCTCCTCCCTCCTCCTCCCTCCTCCCTCTTCCTCTCCTCCCTCTTCCCCTCCTCCCTCCTCCTCCACTCCTCCTCCTCCTTTCCTCCTCCCCTCCTCCTCTCCTCCCTCCTCCTCCCCTCCTCCCGCCTCCCTTCTCCTGCCCTCCTCCCTCCCTTCTCCCCTCCTCCCTCCTCCTCCCCTCCTCCCTTCTCCTCCCTCCTCTTCCTCCCTCCTCCTACCTCCTTCCTCCTCCCTCCTCTCCTCCACTCCTCCTCCTTCCCCTCCTCCCTTCTTCCCTCCTCTTCCCCTCCTCGCTCCTTCTCCCTTCTCCTCCTCCACTCCTCCTCCCTCCTCCTCCTCTTCCCCTCCTCCCTCCTCCCTCCTCCTCCCCTCCTCCCTCTTCCTCCTCCTCCTTCTTTTTCTTCTTCACCCCCCTCCTCCACCTCTACAGAGTCTCACTCTATTGCCCCAGCTGGAGAGTGCAGTGGTACAATCCCAGCTCACTCCAGGGTGGTGCACACCTGTAGTTCCAACTACTCAGGGGGCTGAGGTGGGAGCATCACCTGAGCCTAGGAGATCAGGCCCCTCCTGAGTAGCTGGGACCACAGGTGTGTGCCACCATGCCCAGCTAATTTTGTATATTTTTGATAGAGATAGGGTTTTGCCATGTGGCCCACGCTGGTCTTGAACTCCAAGGCTCAAGGAATCTGCCTGCCTTGGCCTCCCGAGGTGCTGGGTTTGCAGACTTGAGCCACAATGCCTTGCCTCATTTCTTCATCCACACAATGAGGGACCCTGCTTTTCAGGGCTGTTGTGGGTATGAATTGAACACACTTAGTCCCCTGCCACTGCCTTAGCACACCTGAGCTAGCAGGGAGCTGCTCCTGATGGATCTGAGCCTTGCCTGTCCCCTCCCTCTATGTCTTGCCTCTTCCTGCAGAGCGGCTGAGGAAGGTGGAGCTGGGGACGGCCCTGCGGACGCTGGCCCTGGTTTCCCTGGGCCTTTATTCTCACTACTGGCTGCTCCTGAACCTGTCAGGCTTCAAGAGCCCCAGCTCAGCCCTGGGCTGCATGTTCGTCACCAGATCCCTGCTGGCCCACCCCTACCTCCACGTCAACATCTTCCAGGTGAGGCCACCCCAACCTGGGCACCGGGAGGCTAAGGGGAGCATTCCCCAGGGACCCTGACTGCAGGCTGGACTCTAGGGTGAGGAGAGAGGGGCCACCTGAGGGATGAGGCATCCTCCCTCTTGCTGTCGTCACACCATGCCCTCACCCCATCCTGGAGAGACCCTGCTCTGTTCACCAGTCAAGATCCTACTCATCGCTCAAGGTCAAGTTTCACAGGCAGTGTCAAGTGCTTCCTCTGCCAGGTGCTATCCTAGGTCGGGAACTCAGAGGTGAACAAGAGCTTCAGGTTGGTGCAGGACAGGACACAATTAGGGGATTAAGTCATTAACAGCAGTTCTGGTAAGTGCTCCCCTCCGACCTCGACCTCCCCCCACCGACTCCAAGGATCATTCAAGAGTTTTGAGTTCAGGTAAGAAGCAGGCTTCTCCGCTGGGCGTGGTGGCTCACGCCTGTAATCTCAGCACTTTGGGAGGCTGATGTGGGTGGATCACCTGAGGTCAGTAGTTCAAGACCAGTTTGGCCAACCTGGCAAAATGCTCTATTAAAAACACAGAAAGGGCCAGGCATGGTGGCTCATGCCTATAATCCTGACATTTTGGGAGGCCGAGGAGCCAGGATCACCTGAATTCAGGAGTTCAAAACCAGTCTGGACAACATGGCACGAAACCCCGTCTCTACTAAAAATACAAAAATTAGCTGGCAGGAGAATCACTTGAACCCACGAGGCAGAGGTTGCAGTGAGCCAAAATCATGCCATTGCTCTACAGCCTGGGCAACAGAGCGAGACTCTGCCTCAAAACACACACACACACACACACACACACACACACACACACACACACACACACACACCAGCTGGGCGTAGTGGTGAGCGCCTGTAATCTCAGCTACCTGGGAGGCTGAGGTGGGAGAATCACTTGAACCTGGGAGGCGGAGGTTGCAGTGAGCCGAAATTGTACCACTGTACTCAGTCTGGGGGACAGAGTGAGATTCCATCTAAAAAAAAATAAAAAAATGAAAAAGAATCGAGCTTTCTCCTCAACACAGTCAGCATGCCTCCCTCCATTCATGGATGCCCACGTGGTAGGAGATAAAGGCCCCAGTGAATGCCTGAGGCAGGCAAATGAAGGCACTAGAGACAGAGTTCTTCATGGGAGGCCAGGGCTCAGCATTCAGCTCCGGCGTCATTTCCACGGGGACATCTCCCTGCTTCCTGCCCAGGGAAGTCACCAGAGAAGCACTTCCTGTACCTCCCTGTCCAGCACTTACCACAGCTGCTGTTAACTATTTAATTACTTAATCCCATACTTGTGTCCTGTCCTGCACCCTCCGAGGCTCCTGGTCACCTCTGAGTTCCCGACCTAGGACAGCACCTGGCAGAGGAAGCACTTGACACTGCCTATGAAACTTGACTTTGAATGACGAGTAGGGTCTTGACTGGTGAACAGAGCAGGAAGAGTCTCTCCGCGATGAGGTGAAGGTGTGAGGAGTGAGTGGTAGGCAGTCAAGAGCACGAGGGAACCATGCACCCTGAGAGGTGCCTGGGCTAAGTCCCTGACTGTCCAGATGGGGAGGGAGGAGCAGAGATGGATGAGACTCAGTGCAGGAAACAGGGTCAGCATCGGAGCTAGGCTAGGGGCCCCTCTACCAGGTGCCCTGCATAGGAGGTGGGGGACAGAAGAGCCCTCTGGGTAGCATGAGGTCCCAGGACACCTGGCATGGGGTGGGGAAGTCCAGGCTGCCCAGCGTGATCCACGTGTCTGTCACAGCACATTGGGCTGCCCATGTTCTCCCGGGACAACAAGCCCCGCCGGATCCACATGATGAGCCTGGGGGTGCTGAACCTGGCCCGGCTGCCGGTGCTGGACTGGGCGTTTGGGCACTCGATCATCAGCTGCCATGTGGAACACCACCTCTTCCCCAGGCTCTCTGACAACATGTGCCTCAAGGTAGTCGAGGTCTGGGCTGGGGGTGTTGGAATGAAGGGACTGTTAGAGGGTGGAAGGGAAGATTCTTGGGCCCGGCAGGGTTGCTCACGCCTATAATCCTGGCCCTTTGGGAGGCTGAGGCGGGCAGATTGCTTGAGCCCATGAGTTCAAGAGCAGCCTGGGCAACACGGTGAAACCCCGTCTCTCCAAAAAATAGAAATATGAGCCGGGTGTGGTGGCACATGCTTGTGGTCCCAGCTACTTGGGAAACTGAGTCACGACCACCTGAGTCTGGGGAGGTTGAGGCTGCAGTGAACCATAATCATGCCACTGCACTCCAGCCTGGGCAACAGAGTGAGACCCTGCCTTAAAAAAAAAAAGTGGCAGGGGGAGGGAAGAACCTTCAGGGTTCACCTGAACTCCAAGTTCCCCATCTGGCCTGGTCAGAGGTCACCGAGGAAGGACAGCCAGTGTATCTGCAGCAGCATGGGTTTCAGATCAGAGATACCCAGGTTTCTTACTAGCAGTTCGACTCTGGGCAAGTGAACTGAATGCCTCTGGGCCTCAGCTTTCTATTCTGTAAAATGGGAGTAGCAGGGCTTATGTTGACAGGCTTTGAGAATGAAATGGAGAAATAGATCTGAAATGTTTGGCACATGGTAGGTACTTGGTAAAAGGGAGCTCTGGTTTTTAGCCCCCTGTGCCAAGGAGGGCTGTCATGCTGTCAGGATCCCTGGATGTTGGGAAGAAGCCACTCCTTTCTTCTGCTGGGTGAGGACAAGAATTCTCTGACTTAAGCCCTTCTGTTCCTCTGGAGAATCATGGAACAAGGCAGATAGGAGCTGGGGGTGGGAAGAAGACACCCCCCATGGGGTGATGGACCTGCCCACAGACCCAGCTCATAGGCCCCTCTCTTGCCGGTCTTCCACCAGGTGAAGCCCGTGGTGTCCCAGTTCTTCCGTGAGAAGCAGCTACCATACAACGAGGACTCATATCTGGCTCGCTTCCGGCTGTTTCTCCATCGCTATGAGGAGTTCATGGTGCAGGCCCCGCCGATCACTGAGCTTGTGGGGCTGCAATGAGGCCAGTGCAGCCACCCCGCCCCTGCGTGGACCGGCCCTAGCCCTCCTACTGCTGCTGGCCCAGGGCTTGTGGCTGGTGGCGGACCTGGAGAGTGGAGACACTGGACAGACAGTGAGGCAGGGGGGACTCAGGCCTGGGGTCTGGGGGCCACTTGCCTTGCTTGCTTTTCTGGGTTTTGAGGCGTGTCTGGGGGGAGCAATAATGGTGGCTGTGTATGCTGGTCAGTCTGGACCTCAGCAGCTCCATCTCAGGACTGAAGAGCTGGGTCCTTCCCACTGCTTCATCTGAGCCTTGGTAGGGCTAAGGTGAAGTGACAGGGTGAGGAGGGATCCTGTGCAGGGGCTACCTGGCAGGGTCAGCTCCCTCGGCTGTGACCTCCCTGGCATTGGGAGAGCCCCACATGGCCTTGGCCACTGCCTCCTTCAGGCTCTGCCCACCAAGGTGCCCTCTCCCCGGGGACCTCAGGTGAGCTTGCTTTTGGCAGGCCTTCCTCGATTCTCAGCCAACGGAACCTGTGCAAGACACTGGCTCAGCAGTTCCCCAGGCCACAGCATCAGTGAGATAAAAGCAAGTGTGTTTTGTGTGGAGAGAACTCCACAGAAGTGAGGGGAGAAGGTCCCTCAGGGACAGATCTGGGGAAAGAGTATAAATGGCAGGTTGGGCGAGGTGGCTCACGCCTGTAATCCCAGCACTTTGGGCCGAGGCAGGTGGATCATGAGGTCAGGAGGTTGAGACCAGCCTGGCCAACATGGTGAAACCCCATCTCTGCTAAAAATACAAAAAATTAGCCAGTTTTGGTGGCACACATTTGTAGTCCCAGCTACTTGGGAGGCTGGGGCAGGAGAATCACTTACTTGAACCCAGGAGGTGGAAGTTGCAGTGAGCCGAGATCACACCATTGCACTCCAGCCTGGACGACAGAGCCAGACTCCGTCTCAAAAAAAGAATAAATAGCTTTGAATGTGACCTTGGCTAGCTCAAACAAAGTTTACTTTGTTCTGTGATGTTTAGAAGTGGTGAACCTGAGGATCATCCATTGGGGATGGGGGAGGGGGGAAAGTTTGGGGGAGGGGGTTTGAGCTGGAGGGGGTTCTGGGAACAGGGTCTGGAGGACAGATGGCTTCAGAGAGGAATGGGAGAGGGTGAGGTGTAGATAGAAGAGCCTGAAGTCAGGGCTGGGTGGGGGGCTGTGGAAGGATGGTCTGCAGCCTGGGAGTGAGATGGGAATACCAGGGAACAGCCAATGTCAGGCAGAGGAAACTGGGGGTCACCACTGAGATTCAGCCCACGGTGGGTAGTGTTGAGAGAGGGCTGGGAGCTGCTCCGGCTGGGGCTGGACTGGGAGGGTGCTAGAAAGTGCCCAGGTGGAGGCTGAGGGAGAGACAGAGAAGGAGGCCAGACCTGGGACCGGAGGCCAGACTCATTAGTTGAAAACAGGTTCTCTCACCTCAGCACTACTGACATTTTTTTTTCCCTTTGGAGATGGAGTCTGACTCTGTTACCCACGCTTAAGTGCAGTGGTGCGATATCGGCTCACTGCAAATTCTGCCTCCTGGGTTCAAGCCATACTCCTGCCTCACCCTCCCAAGTAGCTGGGACTACAGGCACCCACTGCTGCTCCCGGCTAATTTTTTGTATTTTAGCAGAGACATGGTTTCACCGTGTTTCTCAGGCTGGTCTTGGACTCCTGAGCTCAGGCAATCTGCCTGCCTCGGCCTCCCAAAGTGCTGGGATTATAGGCATGAGCCACTGTGCCCGGCCACTATGGACATTTTATCTGGGCAACTCTGTGCTGTTGGGGCTTCCCTGTGCACTGTAGGATGTTTGGCAGCATCCCTGGCTTCTACCTACTAGGTGCTGGGAGCTCAAGTAATGACAATCAAAACTGTCTCCAGACATTGCCAAGTCTTCCCCAGCTGAGAGCATGCAAGTCATTCTCTGAGTGCGTAACTGCCTTGTTTTCTAGTGAAGTCCTTGGATGGGGTGAAGGGCGTGCTCACCCTGCTGACAGGGAGACAAACTGCCAGCAAATGGGAGCCTGTGGGATAGGCAGAGGGGTCTGGCTACAGGCACAGGCACTCCCTGAGTCCAGTTCCGTTGGAGAGCCCCTCTGCGTGTGGCCGTAGGCAGCTGCACAGAGGCCACTGGTTCCTTCAGGTGCACTCCCCACTCATCTCCATCATGCCTGCCTTTACCAAAGACTGCAACTCCTTTAGACGCCCTTTTCCATAGCTACAGACTCTCACTCCTTCCCAAAGTGCTCCCTCCAGGCTTGGGGCGGTAGTGGCTTCCAGCTGCTGCTAGCCTGGGTGCTTCTCCATTCCCTTCACCCTGCTCACACCTCTGTACACAAACTCCTTCATTAAACTGTCCTCAATCACCCCTTCTCAGTGTGCCATCTGTTCCCTGCTAGAAGGCCGACTGATGGAGTGGAGTTTTGGATCCAGGCAGCCGTCTTGGCACGAGGCAGGCTTGGCGGCTCCCCAGCCCACCGCTTTGCTATGTTATTGCTGCTCCTTGGAAATGCATTAGCAGCTTAGAAATGGCCTTAAGGTCTAGGGGTGTAATTAATCAAACTGCTAATTCTCCATTTGAGAAATGCAGTGACAGAAAAGGCCCCAAATACACAGTCCTGGCTCATGATTAAAACCATCCAAATACATAACCAATGACTCATTGTTATTGATCTGGGCCTGACTGGGGCATGGGCAGCATCTGAAGGCCCTGGTGCCAGATCTGGCTGTACTATGGATATCCTGGGAACAAGTCACTCGATTTCTTTGAGGCTGTATTTTCTGTTTCGCTGAGGATGTGGACTGGGAATTTCTGGGGCCTGAGAGGTGAGGGAGGTGAAAAGAGTGAATGAAGTATATCTGGGTCTCTGCGGAGACCTAAGATCTAATCTACAGAGGCATATGGGAGGTCACACTGTGTATGGATAATGATGATAATAGTTAATGTTTATTTAGCACTTATTGAACATATCTTTACCTACATCATCTGATTTTAACGTCTACAACAAATTGGCACTACTATTTCCCTGGTATGTTACAGATGGTGAAAAAAAGTCCTGGAGAGATTGAATTTCTCAATGTCACATAGCTAGTGCATGGAAGAAGAGGGATTGAAACCCAATGTTGTCTGACTCTAGAATCCATCCTCTTGAACACCAGATATACTGCCTCTAGACGGGGAGCCCTACAGAGCTTTTTTGATTGTACGAACTTCCATTATGTGCCAGCCACTGTGTTAAGCCCTGGGGATATAAGATCTAATGAGATTGGGTCCCTACCCTCCTGGAGCTTATAGTCTAGTGCAGGGTGGTCAAACTCTGGAAAGGACCAGATAGTAAATATTTGGGGTATTGTGAACCATATGGTCTCTGTTACAACTACTCAATTGTGCCATCAAAGCACAAATAGAGCCACAGATAATATGTAAAGAAATAATCCTGGATGTCTTCCGATAAAGCTTTATCATATTCAAACTTTAGTCTGAATTTCATGTAATTTTTATGTGACACAAAATTTCGTTTTTTTACCATTAAAAATGTAAAAACAAGGCCTGGTGTGGTAGCTCACCCCTGTAATTCCAGCACTTTGGGAGGCCAAGGTGGGGGGGATCATGAGGTCAGGAGTTTGAGACTAGCCTGGCCAATATGGTGAAACCTCGTCTCACTAAATATACAAAACTTAGTTGGGTGGAGTGGTGTGCACCTGTAATCTCAGCTACCCAGGAGGCTGAGGCAGGAGAATCGCTTGAACCTGGGAGGTGGAAGTTGCAGTGAGCCGAGATAGCGCCACTGCACTCCAGCCTAGGCGACAGAGTGAGACTCTGTCTCAGAGAATAAAACACACACACACACACACACCAGCCGGGTGTAGTGGCTCACTCCTGTAATCCTGACACTTTGGAAGGTGGAGATAGGTGGACTGCATTGAGCTCAGGAGATTGAGACCAGCCTAGGTGACATGGCAAAACCCATCTCCACAAAAAATGCAAAAAATGGCAGGCACCTGTGGTCCCAGCTACTCAGGAGGCTGAGGCTGGAGGCTCGCTTGAACCAGGAAATGGAGGTTGCAGTGGGCTGAGATGGCACCACTGGGTGACAGAGTGGGACCCTGTCTCAAAAAACCAAACCAAACCAAAAACCCCAACCCCCCCCCAAAAAAACCCAAAACAGTAAAAATCATTCTTGCAGGTCATCCAAAACATGCTGGTGGACAGCGTTTGGCCTGCAAGCTAGTCTGCCTACTCCTGGTTTAGTGAGACAGGCATAAAACACAATGACCTATTAGAAAGCAAAACAGTATTTACTTACCAGTGAGGGAGGGGAAGTGACCAGAAAGAGAACGTCTGGGATACTGACCATATTTTATTTCTTGATCTGGGTGGTGGTTATATGGTTACACCTTGTGATATATTGTCAAGCTGTGCACTTACGACTTGTGCACTTTTCTGTATGACATTTTTAAATTTAAAACCTCATTAAAAATGACAAACAGTGTAATAAGTCATCATGGGGTAAGGTCGGATGCTGTGGAATAAGCAGCTTTAATCCCTTGGAGCGTGGGAGGGGACGGGTCAGAGAAAAGGCTTCTCCGAGGAAGTAATGTTTGACAAGAGGGCCCATGGGAAAAAGGAAGAGGCACTAGGTTATTGGGTCAGCTGTCACTACGGATCCTATCCTTATTTAAAAAATATTTTGATCATAGACTTTTTGCATTAATTTTGACATTTTAAAACGTCGCAGTATAACACTTATCTTGATGACTGTTTTGGAGCCCCCTTAAATTATGAACCCGAGGGGAGTGCCCCAACCCGAGTCCCGCAAGGCTGCAGAGGGGTCGGAGGCTCAGCCCTTAGCACAGTAAGCCACTGCCCCGCCCCCTTTTCTTCGCCTGTGTAATGGGAAAAGGGATGAGGTGGGACGAGCTCTCCAGGGTTTAATATTCTCCCTGGCCCGATAGGGACAGCATGTTGCAGGGCTTACAACATACGCGGTCGAATAAAGAGGCTGCTGAGTTCCTGGCGGAAGCTCTCTCGCCCCAGATTTCCTCACTCTAGTTAATTTCCCAGATTAACTGGGAAGGCTCGCTTGGAGCCGGACTCCATGATTGGCTGGGACGAAGTCACACGGGAGGATTCGCTACTAAATGCCAATGTAGCATGCGTCATCAGAGAGCGACGAGAGCCTCCCGAGAGGGGCGCGGGTAAGTAAAATAAGCTCCTTCTAATTGGCTGCTTCCTTGAGGAGGGACTGAAACAGCGATGGGGATACGCTCTCTTCCAATTCTAGGCTTCCGGGATTTGGAGGGAAGGTGAGGATTGGGGAGAAATGTATAAAATCGCGCGTGTCCCGGAAGCACAGAGGGGCGGGGCTTAGACGGTGGGGCGTGATTAAGGGCGGACCTCTCTTTTGGGGGCGGGATTCTCTCGGGAGTCGGGGTGGAGCCGCAAGGCTCTGCTTTCCCGGCCCGCTAGGGGTGGGGATTGGGGCGGGGCCTCGCTTGTGGGCGGGGCCAGAGGCCGGGTGGTGGCGGGCTTGCAGAGCCCGGCGGTTGCCAGGACCCACTTGCAGGTTGCTGTTCCCAGCCATGGCTTCGCGCTGCTGGCGCTGGTGGGGCCGGTCGGCGTGGCCTTGGACCCCTCCGCTTTCCGTCGGGAGCATCCCGAGTAGGAACAGGGCGCCTTTGGGGCTGGATGGGAGCGCGGGGAGGCCTGGAAGCTCTGAGTAGGGGTCAGAACCGAGCTGGGGCAGGGCTGGAGAGGGGCGAGACTGGAGGGGTCTCTTCCTGCTGGGGAGATCGCGGTGGTGCACCGGGGTGGGCAGGGATCTGTGCGTGAGATGTGAGGCTTTTAGGGTGAGAGTCGGAGGTCAACAAAGGTAAAAAGGAGAGACTATGAGATCCACAGGTGTGAGACGGGGTGAATGGGGGATGATACGGAGGTCTGTGGGGCGAGAGGGAGGTCTGAGTCGAAACGGATTTGTAGGAATAAAACAGGTCTATACGGGCAATATAACGTTTTGTGGAGAGAGAAGGGTTAGTGGGGCGACATTTTGGGGAGACCGAAGGGGCGAGATTGGGATGATATAGAGGCCGTTGGAAGGATGTGGGATTCTACCCGATTGGATAGGGAATGAAGTGGTGTTGGGTAGGCCATTGGCAGTGGTGTAGTAGGTTCATGGGTGAGATGAGAGGCTCTGGATGAAGACTCAGCCTTTGGGGGTTCAGATGAATTAAGAGACCCTACAAATGCCAAAGACTTGAGGAGCAAGAGAAGGAGGATGCAGGTGAGGGCGAAGCTTGGGAAGTTCCAGCTTCTGTTGGATATTCAAGTTGGTTTTCGACTGGGGAAAGAGGTCAATTTTGACCTTTTCCCTCTCCTCTCCCTGGCCCCAGGCTTCCGCCATCAGTTCTCCACACAGGAGACGACCCCCCAGATCTGTGTGGTGGGCAGTGGTCCAGCTGGCTTCTACACCGCCCAACACCTGCTAAAGGTAAGCCACTTCCTCATAGTCCATCATTCACCTGCTGCTCCAGTCCTAAGGGCAAGCCTCACCCCCTTTGGGTTTTACTACCACTCCTGGATGCCTGATGCGGAAGGGGCTCCCAGCCATCTGGCCTGGACACTTCCCACTTGCTTCCTCACCTACACCTGGGCCTCTCCTCCCCTCACATCCTCAGTGTGAGAGAGGACCACTTGGTGGCCAGTGGTCAGTGGCAGGTGGTCAGCTCTGCCTCCCTGGCCAAGCACTCCAGAAGGCTTGTGTATACCTGCAGAATGACTTCATCCTCCCTCCTTTCTCCTCTGTCTTCACTTTGTCCCAAATATTCTGCATCTGGAGGCTAACCGCCTCCTCTGCTTTCTGTAACTTTACCTTTTTTGCCATGCCCTCCTCACCCAGAGCTCCAATCCTTCCCTGCCATTTTGTTCTTTCACCTTGCCCTCTGCCCCTCCCGCTTCCCCTGTGAAGGCCAGGATCTCAAGGCTTTTAGTGTCCGCCTTGGTAGGCAGGGCCCCAAGCCAAGGCTACAGGTTATCCTTGAGACTCCACATCAGACTTTGAGACAGAATAGAGAGGGGATACCCAGGTTAACTGAGACATGAGACAGTGGCCTAGCTTTGGAGAGGCTTGAAGTGTCTGTGGGGAGACAAGAGAATGGATGAATATCTTAATTATGCACACACACACACACACACACACACACACACTTGAAATGCAGGGTGACCAACTGGCCTGGATTCCCCAGGACAAGGGGATTCAGCGCTAAGCTGAAGGTTCTTGGGAAACCTGGATGAGTTCATCACTCTACTGAAAAGTGACCCATGCATGCTTCCCAAGCAACACGGGTGAAAGCTAATTACAATAATGTGGGCAGAGTGAGCTGAGGCAGGTGGGGTCAATCAGAAACTTCCTTGAGCTGGGAGTGGTGGCTCATGCCTGTAATCCCAGCACTTTGGGACGCTGTGGCAGGTGGATCACTTGAGGTCAGGAGTTCGAGACCAGCCTGTCCCACATGGTGAAAACTCTACTAAAAATACAAAAATTAGCCATGCATGGTGGCACATGTCTGTAGTCCCAGCTACTTGGGAGGCTGAGGCTGGATGATTGCTTGAACCTGGGAGGCGTAGGTGGCATTGAGACAAGATCGCACCACTGCACTCCAGCCTGGGTGACAGAGTGAGACCCTGTCTCAAAGAAAAAAGGAAAAGAAAAGAAAAAAACCTGTTTCCTGAAGAGGATGCATTTGAGCTGCACTGAAGAAGACCAAGGGCTTTGGCGAGGACCTCCCACATGTGGGGAGTCATCCTGGAATGCAAGGCCATGGGCACGTGGCCATGTGGGAGGAAGGACAGACAGCCTGGCCTCTGGGATGGAGACTGGGGAGTGCGTGGGGGCTGGAGAGGCCCTGAAGGGCTTTGTCAAAGGGACAGTTTATTAGCTGAGCCTGAAATTTTCGAAGTGGGGAGAATAAGCCTTCCAGGCAGTGTTCTTTTTTTGAGATGGAGTCTCACTCTGTCACCCAGGCTGTAGTGCAGCGACACAATCTCAGCTCACTTCAACCTCCACATTCCAGGTTCAAGTGATTCTCCTGCCTCAGCCTCCTGAGTAGCTGGAATTACAGGTGCGTGCCACCATGTCCGGCTAATTTTTGTATTTTTAGTTCAGACAGAGTTTTACCATGTCAGTAAGCCTGGTTTTGAACTCCTGACCTCAAGTGATCCACCCACCTCGGCCTCCCAGAGTGCTGGGATTACAGGTGTGAGCCACCTCATCTGGCCCAGGCGGTGTTCTTAGCACAGCTGCACTCAGCTGGCAGACACTTGCACATGCTTTCCTTATGGGATGGGATGGGATGGGGAGGGGCTCAGGACAGTTACAATCCTTGTTCTGATCCTTGGGCTGATCTTTGCTCACAGGGAGCTCCAAGCTGCTGGCTGTGCTCCTAAGACAGGACCACCTGCAGCATATTTGGGACAGTGGCAGTTAGCTTGAGTCAGGCACTGAGCGCAGCATCTGGTAGCATCCCCATGGCAACCTGCAAAGCAGGTGTTGTGCCTCTTGCTTCACAGGTAAGGATTCTAGGGCTGAGTGAGGTTGTCCAAGCTTCCACCACTGAGCAGGGATGGCACTGGGACCTGAGCGAAAGCAGCTCCATGCTAGGCCATCCACGTTCATCCATTCAGTAATGAATTACTGGACGTAACACATTCTGGGTGCAGGCTTTACTGGGAACATGGAGGTGAGCAGGACAGACATGGTCCCTGTGCTCTAGGACCTGACATTCGAATGTGGGGTGGGTGGACAAGGGGATAACTTACAAGGTATTTTAGGGCTCTCATGCTGTAAAGTAGACATTGGGGTGCGGGGAGGGGGTCAATGCCCAGTCTGAAGGGAGAGATGTCCCAGTTGCAGTCTGAAGGACAGTAGACGTCAGGTTGGGGGACAGTGGCAGGAGTGTCCCAGGCACAGAGAACTGCATGGACAAAGAGGAAGAGAATGGCCCTAGGGCAAAGAGCAAGTTCTAGAAGGTGCATGTGTGCAATAAGGAAAGAGGAGGTGAGAGCCAAGGCTGAGACGTAGGTGGGACCCCGATCCTGGGGAGCTTGGAAGCCACTGTCCAGGCTCTGGAGGCAGGTTTCACTGGGAGGCGTCTGAAGCTGCCTCCTCTTCCACCATCAGTCTCCTGGGGCATCTTATCAAAATATACATTTCTAGGCTTAGCTCGGCGCTAATGTGGCTGGGCCCAAGAGTCAGCAACATTAAGCACCCCGAAGGATTCTCATGCCCACTGCTGTTCAGGTGGTTGGCTTCACTGGAGAGTTTTGGGGTGCTGTTTTCCTTCAGGATGCCCCATCTGCCTGCAGGGTAGATCCAGGCAGGGCTGGTAGCCAGAGAGTGGTGGGGAGCTGCTGGGGTGACAGTGAGGAAGAGGACTGGGAGAATGGGGGATTGATGGGATCAGGAGGGGGGCAGGGAGGAGCCCCAGGTTCCAGTTTGGACTGTGGGTGGATGGGGTCGAGGGAACAGGAGCAGAAGGGGAGCTGTTTGGGGTGAGGAGACTTGGCTTGAATCTGGATGGATTTGAGATATCTGGGGTGGGACATCCAGGGGTCTCAGGTTTGGAGCTTTGGGAGAGGTCTGGGCAGGAGAGAGAGAGTAGAAAGTCACCAGCAAATTCAGGGGAATTTGAGGTCACAGGAGGGAGTGGCTAAAATCCTCAGGGAGGAGAGAGGGGTGCTTCAGAGAATGTCCTTGGGGAGCAGCTGGAGGGAGAGGAGAAAGGGAGGAGGTTTCCTGGAAGATGAGGTCAGCCATGAGAGATAAGGGGTAAGAATATCCAGCGGACTTAGCATTCTGGAGGTGGCCCTGGAGAGGACACTGTGACCCAGAGTGAAGGATCTGTAGCAGGAAAGAATGGAAGATAAGGACAGAGAGGTCGGATCGGGTAAGGTGCTGACCTCCAGGCTGAGCAGTTTGAACTTTATGCTGTGGCACTGGGCCCCAGAGGAGATTTTTGAGCAAGGCAGTGACATACAACAACTGAATAGTAATGATTGCTCCCTCCTAGACTGAGCACTCAGAGTAGGTTGCACCCTGGGCTGCCTGATTACTCATTTAACCTTGAGCATGATGCCACAGGGATCTTCTTTTGGGCAGAGACGAAACTTTCCCTGGGGCCCAGAGCCAGCTAGTGGTGGAGCTGGGATTGGCATACAACGCCACCTGTTTGACACCAAGCCCAGTGCTCTTTGTGGGTACAACACCTGGGGCTTGAGGGAGGTGGTTTGCGTAGCCCCCTGTGGCTGGTTTGGGATGGGGGGAGGCAGGAGGTGGGGGAGGGTGGACTTGGACACCGGCAGGTGAGTGGAGGGGAAGACGGGATTTGAGTAAAGGTGAGGAGGTGGGTGGGAGCCTTTGTCAGGGGTAGGGCAACTAATGGGCAGGGTCTTCTTTGCCTTGAGTCCCAGTGAAGCTGGAGGTGTCATGGCGAGGAGCTAGGATAGGGTGGGGGCTGGGCGTGTCAGCCATGGGAGCCCCAGCTGCTTTACTGCTAACTGGCCTGGGGCCCAGAGTCTTACCACCCTGACCTTCGGATGCTTCCCAGCAGCCCTGAGAGGGAGCCATTGTCCTTCTAGTGTGCAGAGGGGGAGACTGAGATCTGGGGAGGACCCGGGACTTGCTGGGATCATGTGGCTGGTTGGTGGCAGAGCCAGATCAGACTTGACTGCTGTACCCCCGACCCTGTGCCTTCCCCAGGGCCTCTCAAGGTGCCCTGGGAAGGCGGTCAGTGCAGAAACTCTAAGATGGGAGAGACTCTAAGATGGGAGCAGGTCTATTTCCATCTCTCCTCCCTGAGAATCCCCAGCTGTGCCCCTCCCTGTCCTGCTGTTCCCCTTTCCCAGAGCATGGTCCTGGGCACTAGAGCTGAGGCCCTGTGAACTCAGAGGGTGGTCCTCAGGTCCTCAGAGGACAAAGAAGCCGCCCTGATACAACTGATTCAATTCCAGCTGGGGAAGCTACCGCCCTCCTCAGCCGGCCACTTTCTCCCCATCGCCCAGGGCCAACCAGCCTTCCGTTTTTTGGTTTTTTTTTTTGACACAGAGTCTTGCTCTGTCACCCAGGCTGGAGTGCAGTGGTGCAATCTTAGCTCATTGTAACCTCCTCCTCCCGGGTTCAAGTGATTCTCCTGCCTCAGCCTCCTGAGTAGCTGGGATTACAGGCGCCCGCCATCATGCCTGGCTAATTTTTGTGTTTTTAGTAGAGATGGGGTTTTGCCATGTTGGCCAGGCTGGTCTCGAACTCCTGACCTCAGGCAGTCCACCTGCCTCAGCCTCCCAAAGTGCTAGCATTACAGGCGTGAGCCTCCACAAGGAATGCTCTTTTTCCTTGCACAGGATCTTGAATCCAGGGTCTTGAATGCTCCTGCTGTCTGGGAGGGGGAGGAGTGTTCTGTCTGGGAGCCTGGGGGACCTGGAGGGGGGTCGCAGCCTCTCTCTCCGCCGCACCAGCTGCCACCCTGTTTTCCAGCAGCACCCCCAGGCCCACGTGGACATCTACGAGAAGCAGCCTGTGCCCTTTGGCCTGGTACGCTTTGGCGTGGCGCCTGACCATCCCGAGGTGAAGGTGGGTCTCTCTGGGCCTGGAGGCTGGGGTTTGGTCAAGATGAGGAGGGCAGGGAGGCTCCCTGGCTGGATGAAAGGACTTCATGCCCTCTGTCCTGATGCCACCCAGCTTTCATCCTGGGGACACAGAGTGGTGAGGGTGGTGCAGACGTGGGTCTGTCCTGATGCCACCCAGCTTCCATCCTGGGGACACAGAGTGGTGAGGGTGGTACAGATGTGGGTCTGTCCTGATGCCACCCAGCTTCTGTCCTGGGGACACAGAGTGGTAAGGGTGGTGCAGACATTGGTCCTTGGAGCTGCCTCACCCTCAACCCTTCCCATTCCCGGGGCACCTGGCAGAATGTCATCAACACATTCACCCAGACAGCCCACTGTGGCCGCTGTGCCTTCTGGGGCAACGTGGAGGTGGGCAGGGACGTGACAGTGCCGGAGCTGCGGGAGGCCTATCATGCCGTGGTGCTGGTGAGTGCGGCCAGGCCCTGGGTGGGGGAGGCAGGGGCTGCAGAAGGCAGCTGTCGATGGAGGGCAGCAGGGGTGAGGCCAGGATGCACACTGCAGAGGAGAAGCTGGAAGGGTGCCGCTGGGAGCCTAGGGGGCTGCCTGGCCCACCAGTGCTGGTGCTGAGAGCTGTGGGCCTCGGGCCTGTCATCTTTCATCAGAGCTATGGGGCAGAGGACCATCGGGCCCTGGAAATTCCTGGTGAGGAGCTGCCAGGTGTGTGCTCTGCCCGGGCCTTTGTGGGCTGGTACAACGGGCTTCCTGAGAACCAGGAGGTGAGTTTGGGGAGCATGCTTGCTGCCTCTTCCTCCCCACCCCTCGGCCCTTGGATGCCAGACCTGGGGAAAGAGGGAGCTGCCATCTGATGGTGAGGAGAGGTGAGCTGCTGACTGAAGCAGGAGGGCCTTGGGGGAGAGCTGGGTCCAGGTGTGGGAGGAGGGACCTGAGTTGTGGACTTTCCTGGTTTGGGGAAGCCCCAGGGCACAGCGGGGACCGGGCATGAGGCACCTGTAGACTGAGGTGAGCTTGAGTGGAGCAAGGCCAGGGGCCCTATCCAGACCTTTCCCCTGCAGCTGAAGCCAGACCTGAGCTGTGACACAGCTGTGATTCTGGGGCAGGGGAACGTGGCTCTGGACGTGGCCCGTATCCTACTGACCCCACCTGAGCACCTGGAGGTGAGTGGTAGGCTGGGGCTGAGGGGTGAAGGTGGGGTCACCCCAAGGAGAGAGTGGGCCTGTCTGCAGGATTCAGGGCCCCCCTCTCCAGGTCAGGCTCAATGCCTCTGTTTCCCCGTGGTGCCCAGGCAGAGGTCCTCTGAAGAGCAGTCCCATGAGCGTCCTCTTCTATCATTTTCCCCTGCACTTTCTGTCCTCCAGCTGAGGGGCCTTTTTCTCTTTACTCTTCAGTACCCACAGGACCCTTGCTCTCACCATCCCCTGCCTGGATCATCCCTGCCCACCTCCCACCAGTTAACAGCCGAAGTTCATCTTTTAGATCTTGGCTGGGTTGTCCCTTGGCTTCCCTGAATTGGCCCCATCACACCTCCTCCCACAGACCCAGCTACTGTGTCACAGCCTGTTATCGCCACAGCAATTTTACACATGTGGATGAGTATTTGATGAGTATTTCTCTCCCCACCAGATCAGAAGCTCTGTGAGGGCATGCTCCTTGTCTCTTTTATTCATCATTGATGCCCTTCCAAGCTCTTTGCACGGGGCTGAGCACATAGGAGAGGCCCACTAAATACTTGTTGAATGCAAGTGTGGGCCTGGTGTGCGATTAGTTGGAGTCATTTGCAGAGTTGGCAGCAATGCTCCATCTGGCCACCAGGGGGGAGCAGTGGTACAATTTTGGGCCGCCAGCCTTCTGGCCCACGGTGGGGAAGTGACCAAATGGAGAGTCCGGTTTCTCTGGTCAGTGATGATTTCAAGGCCCTCCTTTTGTGCCAGAAAACGGACATCACGAAGGCAGCTCTGGATGTGCTGAGGCAGAGTCGAGTGAAGACAGTGTGGCTAGTGGGCCGGCGTGGACCCCTGCAAGTGGCCTTCACCATTAAGGTGCTGGGGCAGAGCCAGGGTTCCAGGTGGAGGGCCTCTCCTTAAGGGGTGGGATGGGGCAGAGTCCCTGGGAATAGCTGCTGCCTGGGATGGAAGAAGGGGAGCAGTCAGGGTCCCGGGGCCCTGTGCCTTTGGGGAGGATGCAGGTGGTGGTTGCTCCTGCCTGGGCTGGACCCTGGAGTGGACTCAGATGGACAGTGTTCCGACCTGACCTCCTCCCCCATTCCCTGCCCCCACCCTCAAGGAGCTTCGGGAGATGATTCAGTTACCAGGAACCCGGCCCATTTTGGATCCTGTGGATTTCTTGGGCCTCCAGGACAGGCTCAAAGGTGAAGGACCCTGGCCTGGCCCACCAGCTACTGGGGAGGGTGTGGCCTAAGTCAGAGAGGGTCAGGGAAGGGCATTCAGGAGAGGGCTGGGCTCCAGGGACAGCCTGGAGACAGTCTACGATGCTGACAGAGGTCCCGCGCCCAAGGAAGCGGCTGACGGAACTGCTGCTTCGAACAGCCATGGAGAAGCCAGGGCCGGAGGAGGCTGCCCGCCGGGCATCGGCCTCTCGTGCCTGGGGCCTCCGCTTTTTCCGAAGCCCCCAGCAGGTGCTGCCCTCGCCAGATGGGCGGGGGGCAGCAGGTGTCCGTCTGGCAGTCACTAGACTGGAGGTGAGTGTCACGTTTTCCAAAGACACCCCCTTCCCAGGCCTTTGCCACTCCAGCCTGGAGTTGCTCACACTCTCTCCTCTCCCTAACAGGGTGTCGGTGAGGCCACCCGGGCAGTGCCCACGGGAGCCATGGAAGACCTCCCTTGTGGGCTGGTGCTCAGCAGCATTGGGTATAAGAGCCGCCCTATTGACCCAAGTGTGCCCTTTGACTCCAAGCTTGGGGTCATCCCCAATGTGGAGGGCCGGGTTACGGATGTGCCAGGTGAGAGGGTGTGAGGGGCCTGGGTGGCAAATTCTGGTGGGAGGCCAGGAAGCTGGCGTCTCCTGGGGCCATGCATTCATTCATCTAGCAACATGCACTGAGAAGCTTCTGTAGGGCAGGCCCTCTCCGGACCCAGTGCCACCCTCTTCTTGGCCCTAAGAGAAGTTCCAGTCTAGCTGAGACATATGGGACATATCTCTGGTCATTAAGTCATTCAACAAACATTCACTGAGGTCTGTTCTGGGCTAGGCCCTATGCTTACTGCTGGGATTGGAGATAAATAAGGCAGTTGTCAGGGAGCTTCCAGTTTTACTAAGTGCCCACACACCTATCTAGTCATTAGTTCATTTGGTAAACATTTATCAAAGGCCTACTGAAACCGCAGGGGGCAGACTGCAGCTCCTAAGCTTAGGGATCCCCTCATCTAAGGGACACAAAGGTGAAAGGGGGTCTGGTAAAAACAGGGTGAGAAGAATCCAGGGCAGTGGACCAGCAGCCACTGCAGGCTCAGCCAACAGTCTTTGGGGAGGCGTGGAGTGTCTGTGTGTGTGCGTACGTGGGTAGAGATTATGAGCACAGGATGGCCAGGGTGGTAGCCAGCCACCTCCCTTCCTTCTCCTTTTGTTCTCACCTCTCAGGCCTCTACTGCAGCGGCTGGGTGAAGAGAGGACCCACAGGGGTCATAGCTACAACCATGACTGACAGCTTCCTCACCGGCCAGATGCTACTGCAGGACCTGAAGGCTGGGCTGCTCCCCTCTGGCCCCAGGCCTGGCTCCGCAGCCATCCAGGCCCTGCTCAGCAGCCGAGGTTTGGGCCCCGATGCTGAGGTCCTGGGAGGTGGGGTGGGAGGGCCTTCTTTGGGGTCTCACTCTTTGGGAGGGGGCTGTTCTTGGAGGGGTGAAGGAGGAGGTAGTGACAGTCTCCCCTCTGCTTCAGGGGTCCAGCCAGTCTCTTTCTCAGACTGGGAGAAGCTAGATGCTGAGGAGGTTGCCCGGGGCCAGGGCACTGGGAGGCCCCGGGAGAAGCTGGTGGATCCTCAGGAGATGCTGCACCTGCTGGGACACTGAGCCCAGCCCCAGCCCCTGGCAGGGAAGGGATGAGTCCTGGGAGGGGACGGGCTGGGTCTGCCCAGTGGGACTCTGCTACATCCTGGCAGGGCAGGCTTGGAGGCTTGGCTGCCCTTCCAGGGTCTCTTTTCCCTCCTGGGGAAGCTTGTCCTGACCAGCAAGGTTTTAGGTTTCAGCAACCTTAGGGTCGTGTGGAGGAGCGGCTGACCTAACTCCTTCCCACCTCTCATACTGGAAATAAAACAGCTGCAACCAAGGGCTGTGGTTGATGGGGGACTTTTTTTGGAAGGGTTGGTTGGGGACAGGGGTCACCTGCTGGCGGTAGCTCCCCTACTATCACCAGGTAGGGATGCAGCCTCTTAAGGGCTTGAGGGGGCTCGGCAGCCCCGCCTGGCGTAGGCACCTCCCTTTCTCCACTCGGTTCTGCTGTGGTTTCGGATTGCCTATCTTCTGTCCACATTAGGGCCGCCCGGGATGGGACCCCAGCCTGCCTGCTTCACTGGCCCCCTGGTTAACCCTTAGGTGCGGGGGTGCTGAGCAGCAGCTTGTCCTTGTGCCTCTGGGCGCCCCAGGCAAGTCTGGCCCAGGTCCTATTCTCTGTCCGCTCTCTGTCGGTTTCCAGCCAGACCCACTGGCCTTTAAGAATAGTGCCTTAGTTGGCTGGGTGGTGTTTCACGTCTGTAATCCCAGCACTTTGGGAGGCTGAGGTGGGTGGATCACGAGGTCAGGAGATCGAGACCATCCTGACCAATATGGTGAAACCCCGTTTTTACTAAAAGGACAAAAATTAGCCGGGCGTGGTAGTGTGCGCCTGTAGTCCCAGCTACTCGGGAGGCTGAGGCAGGAGAATCTCTTGAACCCAGGAGTCGGGGGTGCAGTTAGCCGAGATTGCACCATTGCACTCCAGCTTGATGACAGAGTGAGACTCCGTCTCAAAAAAAAAAATAGTGCCTAAATCTCCCTAGGGCTTCCCAGTGTCTGGAGAGTGGTCACTGCCTTTGATGGCAGCCCCAAAGAGGCTGCCTCGCTTTATAAACCGAGGGGTCCTCGAAATCAACTGGCCCAAGGTCACACACTCGTGAGCTGCGGGCTCAAACCCAGGCCCCGGGCAGGCTGGTGTTTCCTCCGAGGCGCACTTGCCCCTCGTGTCGGGTATGGGGACCGGGTCCCTGAGAGGGGAGAGGGACCCGGGCCTGCGGCGGGAGGGGCCCCAAGGGGCGGCGGGCCGGGCCGGAGGCGGCGAGCCCCGGCGGGGCGGGCCCTTGAGGGCGGCAGTGAGCACTCCCGCACGGTCTGCTGCCAGCTCTGGGAGACGGAGTCGCAGCGCGCAGCCCAGCCCGGGACGGAGCTGGGCGCGGTGCGAGCCTCGGGAGGGTCGCGGGGAGCGGGGGCGGGTCGCGGCCAGCCCGCCAGGTCGCGCCACCCGCCCCCGCCCCCGCTCCGGCGCCCGCCGACCTGAGACTGAGCGCGCCAGCGCGCCGGGGCCAAGCCTCCGGGACAGGCACCGCGAAGAAGGCGGCCGGCGCGGGCTCTCGGCGTAGGCGCAGCGCCCCTTCCCCTCAGTGAGTGGCGGGCGGCGGGCAGCGGACGGCGGGCGGGCGGGGGGCTCTAACTTCGCCGCCAACTTGGGGCTGGGTTCCCGCGGCGCGCCGGCAAGGACGGCGGAGACAGAGGCGGGACACCCGGGGGGAGTCGGGCCGGTGCAGGACTCTCGGGGAGCAGGGAGGGGGCGGCTGGAGGACCCGGACCTTCGAGAACCGGACCTTGGGTTTGGACCCGGGCGGCGAGAGAGGAGGGGAAGAAGAGGCCGAGGAGACAGGCGCGCGGCGGACGCGAGAGAAGGACGCGGGCGAAGCGCCCAAGACGTTCGTCCCCGGGGTCGCCGAGCCCTCCTTCTCCTTCGCCTGGCACGGCGGCACCGCGGGACCAGGGGCAGTGCGGGGACGCGGGAGTCTGGGCTGCCGCGGACCTCAACTGTTGCTGCTGGTAGCCTCCGGGGCGGAGGGCGGGGAACAGGGCCGGGATCGGGGGCCGGGGCTGGGATCGACCAGAGCGAGGGGCTGAGAAGGCGAAAGGGAGTGAGAAGGGAGTGAGAAGGCGAAAGGGGGCTGTGCAGCTCCCTAGCCTGGTGCCCCGGTTCCCCCAGGTCTGCTGGGCACCTGCTGCGCACCTGCCTCCGCGCCCGGACCCCTTCCCCCGCCGCGAGTCCCGGTTCTTCCCCTGCAGCTCTGCCCCCTCTCTGCCCCAGCCTAGCGCTCTCCCCTCTGCGACCTGGGAGAATCGGAGTGCCTTCCAGGGTAGTGGCCTCTTGCAGATGCTGGCCCGTGCCCGGGTCCCGAGCTTCCAGAGCGCGAAGGGAAGGGTGGGCAGAGAGGGCGCTGGGCGAGCGTGGTCTGGCGCTGGGCCCTGGCTGCGCACCAGCAGGCTGCGCCGGTCTCTGGGGGCTTCGCCCAGGATCCCCGACGGACGGCGGAGAGGGGAAGCCCAGAGCCTCCGGTTTCCCACCTAGGCGGGCAGGGGGGGACACGCAGAGCAAAGGCACCCGGCAGCCTGAACCCCCAGGTGGGTCCCGCGACCCTGCAAGGAGCTGCTGTGTGAGCAAGATGGGAATTCCTGCCCGGCCCTGACGCCCACTCCATTCATCCATCCTGACGCCCACTCCATTCGTCCACTGTTTCCCAGGCCTGGTCGCCCAAGGGGACTTCTGGCTTGGCCTCCCAGCCTTCGGATGGTGGCGTTGTTCTAGTTCAGTCCTCGACCCCAGGCCACAGGAAAATCGAGAGAAGAAACTTCTTTGGGGAGGGTGCCATCGCGCTGGCTGTATTTCTGAGTCCATCCAGGTCTTGGCGGTGCTAATGGCTTTGAGCCTGTTTCTAAACTCCCAAAGAATACGAGCGTGCAAGGGGCAGGTAGGCAGGTCCGGGACACCCGAGTTCACCCAGGGCCCTGGGGCAGGCCTGGGCTGGTACCAGGGCCTCCTGCCAGGCTGGCTCCGTCCCCTGACTGCGGGGTTCGGGGTAACGACCCAGCTTGGGGGAGTGGGGGTGGGGCCCGGGAGTCGGGGATGCCGGCGGGGGGCAGCGCCAGGCTGGGGGCGCCGGGTGCGTGGTGCGCAGCTCGGCCGCCAGGAGGCGTGGCGCGGGTCCCCGCCCGGAGCCGCCGCCACTGCCGCCGCCGCATCGCGAGTGTCCTTGAGCCGTGGGTGACGGTGGCTCTCGCTGCTCGCGCCCCCTCCTCCCGCGAGGGGAGCCTGATGCCACGTTGCCTATGAATTATTTATCGCCGGCCTAAAAATACCCCGAACTTCACAGCCCGAGTGTAAGAGATTCCTGCGGAGGGGAGGGGGCGGAGCCTCCCGGGGGCTGTGGGGAGTCCGGGTGGGATCTGCTACGGGGGCCTTAGCCTCGAAGAAGCGAGAACTCCATGCCCCCAGGAGTGGGGCAAGCTAGAAGGGCGGTCCTTTCCCTTGGCGCCTGGGTTTGGATTTTGGCTGGGCAAAAGTGAGGGAGGGAAACCCGACGGCAAAAGAGAGGCAGCTCACAGGAAGGGCAGGGGGTCCCGGAGGTCTGCTGGCGGGTGTGGCGGGCTCTTGGGACCAAGTTTCCTAGCCTGGGAGAGGGGGAGCCATAAGCATCTCGGGTGTGAGCCGGTGTGAGTGTGAGAGTGTGAGTGCGTGTGTGTGTGTGTGTAGGTCCGTGCCGGAAATAGGTTTGGAAAAAGGAGGCTGAGATGCTAAAGGCAGAGATGCTCAGGTCTGCCTGAGTTGTGGGGACCCCAGGAGGAGAAGGCCCCCAGCCTGGGAAGGTGCTCAGAGCCTTCCAAATGCTGCTGTGTCCTGCAGGACTGACCACTGCCATCCTCTGCCGGGCTCTTTGGGGATCCCTGTGTTAGACAAACATTAGTTTAAGGGCTGTTTGTGGAGGGGGTGAGACCCTGAGTGGGTGGGTGGGCAGAAGTGTCTGAGACAATGCGTCTGCCCTCAAGGAACCTGCAGTCCAGTGTGGGACGGGGCATTCATGAATGCACACACACCTGCCGCAGGGCAGAATGGAGGGGTGAAGGGGACCACTGCACAGAGCTCCCCACCCAGGAGGGGAAGCCAGGGCAGAGGGAAGAAGGCCAGCCACCCCACCCTGGCCACAGACCCTGCGCCTGGAGACTGAGGCATCAAGGCAGTACCTGTGGGCGAGGGATTTTGGCTGGGCCCTGAACGGTGGTAGACTTCCGTTGGGAAGAGGATGTTCTAGCCTGGGGGATGCTGGAACAAAGCCTGGAGATGAGGATAGGGTGGGGCGGTTTGGCCACCAGACTGGCAGAGCTGTGGGCTCCAGGGGAGGGGAGGACGGCTGCTTGCGGTCAGGGTGCAGAGGGTCCTGTCCATGGGACTAAGGTGTCTGGACTTCATTTGTGTGCACCAGGGAAGTAGCTGTCCTGTGTGAGGAGGGAGCAGGGGCTGGAAGAAGGCTTCAACAGTGCTGTGGGGCCCTCCAGGATGGGTAGATGGGAGGTAGGGAGGGCAGGCAGTGGAGGAGACTGTGGCAGGCAGAGCGGAGTTTGTCCCTCCTATCTCTGTAGGGCGGCTGGATTCCATGGGGTAATGAGACAGGCATGGGAGGCTCCTTGATCTGCCCCTTGCTATTTGGAGTCCAGAGACTTACCTAGTTTTGGCTCCCACCTCTGGAGGAACTCTGGGATCCCTCCCTGATTTTAGGCTCTTTGGTTAGAGGCATAACCTTCCCGAAGCCCCCCACCTCCAGACCCCCAACCCAGGAGGACACTTTCCCTTTGGAGAGAGTCTCTGGTGTCCCCAGCCCAGGGAGATGCCTTCCTATTGGAGAGAGCAGGAATGAGAAACGTTCAGCTACTGTCAGACCTTTATACCTTCATGTGAATGAGCTCTACATCCTTGGCTAAGAAAAGGTCTTGACTGGAAGCTTGAGGGGAGAAGGAGGGCAGGCTATTGGTGGAAAGGGAAATAGGTTTGGAAAAAGGAGGCTGAGATGCTAATGGCAGACTGCTTATTCTGCCCCTTTGAGTTGAGGGAGTGCCTGGGCCCTTCATCTAGGGTCATACTGTCCAAATAAATAAAATGGGAGCCACGGGCCGGGTGCAGTGGTTCACGCCTGTAATCCCAGCACTTTGGGAGACCGAGGCAGGTGGATCATGAGGTCAAGAGATTGAGACCATCCTGGCCAACATGGTGAAACCCCGTCTCTACTAAAAATACAAAAATTAGCCGGGCATGGTGGCACACGCCTGTAGTCCCAGCTACTGGGGAGGCTGAGGCAGGAGAATTGCTTGAACCCAGGAGGTGGAGATTGCGGTGAGCCGAGATCATGCCACTGCACTCCAGCCTGGCACCTGGCGACTGAGCGAGACTCTGTCTAAAAAAAAAAAAAGGGAGCCACAAATGAAATTTAAAAATTTCCAGTAGCCACATTAAAACAAATAGAAACAGGTAAAATTAATTTTAACAGTATATTTTCTTTGACTAAACATACCCCAAATGTTATTATTTCAACATGTCATCAAGACACAAATGTTTACGAGATTTTTACATTCTGTTTCTGTATTGTCTTCAATCTGCAGTGTGGGATGAAATTTTACACTGATAGCAACCCCCGTTTGGGTGAGAGATGTTTCTGGTACCTAACAGTCGTGTGTGACTGGGGGCTCCTATACTAGGCAGTACAGATCTAGAGGTCATTGCTGGGAGGCAGGGGAGGTAGGAGGCTTGGGGCTCCCCACAGGGCAAGGAACTGCTAGGGCCTGGAGATGTGGGCAGAGGTGAGCAGACAGAGGCCTTGCGAAGGGAGTGATGAGCACTTCAGTGTCCTCTGTGGTTGCGATCTGACATCCCTGATTGGTGGTAGTAGCTGAGGCATGGCATGGCATGGCATGGCTAGGATCCCATGCTAGACTCAAACGTGTCTCCAGGCTGCCAATTCTGCCACTTCTGTGTCACTGTACCAGGGAACCACACACATGGGGAGATTTCAAGGGCACCAATATGAGAATGATATTCCCTTCCTTGCCCAAACTCCTGTCTTCTTAGCCTGAAATTCTACCACCTGGCACTTTAGCTTAAGGCTCTGTTGTTAAACCACATCTCTCTTGGGAATGAGAATGCTTTCAGCTGTGATCAGTCCCTCATGCCTTCATGTGAATGAGCTCGACATCCTTAGCTAAGAGAAGGTCTTGAGGGGGAGGCTGGAGAGCTTGAGGGAAGTAAGGAGGGAAGGGTGGAAAGAGAAATACATTTAGGAAAAAGGAGGTTGGAGGTGCTGACAGCAGCAAGCTCATTCTGCAGATGTGACTCTGAGTTCCTGGAGGGCAGGGACCATGTCTCACCCACAGGGACATTCCGAACCCACAGGGACATTCCGCCATCCAGTGCCTAGTGCAGGGAAGAGGCTCAGCACAGACGGGCCAAGTTATGTGTCTGCACCAAAGTCGGTCCATCTAGTGGGTTCCCCTGGAGGGATCTTTTCAGTGCCACCCTGGGGAGAAGAGGAACTTTCCTGAATGTTTCTGGTAGACTCTTGTACTTCCCCACTCTCTGGATTCCCTAGACAGAACTAGAGACCCAAGAAAGCCCATATGTCTGTAAGACATTAGGCTTTGGATAAAAGAGAGAGAGAGAGAGAGGAGAGAGAGAGAGAGAGAGGAGAGAGAGAGAATGAGAGAGAGAGAGAGAGAGAGAGAGAGAGAGAGAGAGAGAGAGAGAGAGAATGAGAGAGAGAGAGAGAAATTTGGTGGCAGGGAAAAGGAAGGCCCCGTGAGAAAGCTGGAGCCTGCCCAGCCATTGTCATCTGCCTTTCAGAGGTGTGGTTTCTGGCAACTGCTTGATTTTTGTGTACATTTCTGTAGCAGAGATGTGCGGATCCTGGGGGCAGGGGGGAGGGCTGCAGTGGCAGGCTCACCCTGTCTACCCTTTAGCTCTCCCCTGCTCAGAAGTTTTGCTGAGGAGGTGACGAAGATGGAAGAGGTGGCAGTGCCATGGCTGATGGCCAGCGGGAGGGAGAGCAACATCCGTGGATACCATTCCACTCAGGCTTTGCGTTAGCCTCGCTGCTGTGGCTCTTGGTCCCAATCCAAAATAATGACATTTAGCAAGGATACATGTCAGGCCCCTGGGTTGGGTTAAAAAGATCCTGCACACCAGTGATGGCCTGAGAGGCCAGCTTACCAGCTCATGTGTAATGAGACCAAACCCCAGCTCAGCAGCTTGGGGTTTTGGGTACCCCTGAGCTCTGAACAAGTCAGCGCTGCTGCACTCCGCTGTGGAAGAGCTGCTACTAGCTGAGGCCACAGAAGGAAGGGCTGTAGTGATGTCCAGTGCCCAGGAGGAGGGGGCTGTGTGCCAGGCAGAGCAATGCAGAGGAGGGCCCTTGGGGCTGGCCCCATGGCAAGCAGGGCGTGCTGACCAGTAGCACAGGGCCTGGGGAGAGACAGATGGAAGATCCGGTTTAGACTGCAGAGAGGACTGGCGGGGGCATTGGGGATGATGTAAGAGCTGTCTTCCTTCACCTGGCTGGGGGCCTGGCACCTGCAGGATAAGGTCACTAATTCCAGCAAATAGCCTGTTGGCTCATCTTAGCCCTCACACTGCCGTGATTGTCTCAGGCAAGGAAACATGGCTCAGAGAGGCTGAGTGACTTCCCTAAGATCACACAGCCCGTAAGTGGCAGAACTGGGACAAGAACTCAGATCTGTCTGACCCAAATCTGTGCACTTGAACCCCAGATTGGCATTTGCAGTGTGCCTTCCTACGGCAGAACCCACTGGCTGAGTGTTGGAAGGGCTGGCCTTTCTAGCCAAGCACGTGTTTCATCAGTAGACTGGAGGGCTGGGTCCCGGTCGCCGTTCCTGTTCTTCCCCAGCGCTTGCTCTTCTGGGATGCCCTTGGGATGCTCAACTAACCTCTCTTTCTCTTTGTCTGTGTCTGTCTGTCTGTCTCCCTCTCTCTCTGCCTCTCTCCGGGGAGGGAGGTTTTCCCCTCTTTAATCTTCTGTACGTGTGTCCCTCTGTCCCTCCTGTCTGTCCATCTGCCTCTCTTCAAACCTCTGTCTCCCTCCCTGTGCTTGTCCTGGTCTCTCCGCAGGACACTCCGGTGGACATGGGTGGGGCCCTGGGGCTGGCCCTGTTGCTCACCTCGCTCCTTGGTGCCTCGGCAGGGCCGGGTCCCGGGCAGGGCGAGCAGGGCGTGACGGTGGCCGTGGTGTTTGGCAGCTCGGGGCCGCCCCAGGCCCAGGTCAGTGCCCGCCTCACCCCTCAGAGCTTCCTGGACCTGCCCCTGGAGATCCAGCCACTCACCGTGGGGGTCAACAACACCAACCCCAGCAGCCTCCTCACCCAGATCTGCAGTCTCCTGGGTGCTGCCCGCATCCACGGCATTGTCTTTGAGGACAACGTGGGCACCGAGGCAGTAGCCCAGATCCTTGACTTCATCTCCTCCCAGACCCACGTGCCCATCCTCAGCATCAGTGGGGGCTCCGCTGTGGTCCTCACCCCCAAGGTGCATGTTCAAATTCATGTCCCCTTGTGCCTTGGGCCTAGAGCCAGGCTGGGTTAGGGGATGCTTAGGTTCTGGGAGGCTGGGATTAGACGGGACCGGCAGAGAGGTGGCAGCTGAGGGCATGACGTGGGTGATGGGGAGAAGGTGATGGGAACGGCATCCCCATGTTCTAGAGAGACCCTCTGGGCTGCTCTCACATTGTGTCTGGATGTGGGGTGGGCAGGGTGCAGGCCCGCCTCTGGCTGTGGGGCTCAGGCTCCAGCCCTTGTTCTCTGTTTCCCTCAGCTTCCTAGGTCAGGCTGAGACCCACAGGGCCTGCCGGGCATGGGAGGTGGTGCCACGCCCTCTGGGCAGTTGTAGTTCACCTGTAGGGTGAGCACTCCAGGGAACCCTGGGAGACCTGGGGGAGGCCTGTAGCCTCCTGTGGAGAACGTTCCAAACACACGTTCATCTGCAATTACAACTGGGATAAGCATTCTGAAGGAAAAACACAGGATGCTGTGAGGGAGCTCATGGTCCCCATTTGCATAGGGTGTTGGCCAGGGAAGGTCTCTGGAGAAATGATTTCTAGGCTGAGACCTGGAGGCCAAGGGTGAGCTGGTGGGGAGGGGGAGAGGCACAAGCAGAGGAGCAGGAGGTGTGAAGGTCCCAAGGTGGGGAAGGAGCTCGGAGCTTTGGTGGAATAGAAGGAAAAGCCTGGAGAATGAGGTGGGGGCCTGGCCATGGGGGAAGATGTTTGGGCCTTCCCCTGAGCAAGTCGGCAGCCAGGGCAGGGTGAACCGATGTCACAGCCCCCTGAGCTTCCTGGACCTGTCCCTGGAGATCTAGCCATTCAGGGATGAGCGGAGGAGAGTCGAGGGAAGAGACTGATCTGATTTGCCTTTGTTCATTCTTATATGGCGATTTTTGAGTATATATAAAAGAGTATAAGGAAGGCTCATATTTCTCCCATTTACCCTGGTTATCCACCCCAGCCTCACCCTCACCCCCTTCCCTTTCTTTTGTGTTAATTTGAAGCAGAGCCCAGGCATCCTCTTATTCCAGCCATAAATATTTCAGTATGTATCCCTGCAGATAAGGACTTAGGAAAGTAAAACCACCATCCATGATGACATCTAAAAAATAAAACTCCTTAACATCTTCAAATATCCAGGCAGTGTTCACATTTCCCCATTGTCTCACAACTGTCATAAATGTTGATTTTGCAGTCTGTTTGCTCTTATCAAGAGCCAAGTCAGGTCCACACGTGCTGGTTGGTTGGTGTGGCTTCTAAGCCTCTCTCAACCTCTGGGCCCCTCCTCCGTCTCTCCCACTTTTTTCCTTGCAATTTGTTTGTTGAAGAAACTGGGTTGCTTGGCCTCTGAATTTTCCCTTATTTGCTTTTTTAAAAGACTGGGACAGTAGCAGCAGGGGGAGCAATTAGGAGGGGACTGCACTGGCCCTGGTGCCAGCAGTCAGTGCCTTGGGCTTTTGCAGTGGCAGAGGGGTGGAGAGGAGGAGTTTTCCCACTCGCAGGGCTCGGACCAGGATGGTGCTTCCCAGTCTCTCTTATGGGGCCCCACATAACACCTCAGAACATTGGCTCTCAACCCTCATTATGTTCTTAGGAAATGCAGACGCCTGGTTTGCACCTCTGGAATTCAGATTCAGTTGATCTGGGGCAGCGCTTCTCAATCTAGCAGGCTCAAGGATCAGCTGAAAAGCTTGTTAGAATACAGATGCTAGGCGCCATACCCAGCGATTCTGATCCAGTCGGTGCGGGGTGCGGCCTGAGAATCTGCATTTCTGACAAGCTCCCCGGTGGTGCTGATGCTGCGGGTCTGCGGGCCGGCGTGGTGGGCTTCGGGCCCGGCACGCCCAGGCTAACCGGCAGCGGGGAACCACGTTGGGGCGGGAGGGAGGCGCAGGCCAGCGGGCTCCCGGAATACGGAGCAGCCACCGGCGCAAGGGCGCCTGGGAGCGGATGGAGGGGCCGAGGTCGGGGTTGGGGCGGGGGGCGGGGCTCGGCCCGCCCCGCCCCGCTCAGGCCCCGCCCCGCCCCCAGGAGCCGGGCTCCGCCTTCCTGCAGCTGGGCGTGTCTCTGGAGCAGCAGCTGCAGGTGCTATTCAAAGTGCTGGAAGAGTACGACTGGAGCGCCTTCGCGGTCATCACCAGCCTGCACCCGGGCCACGCGCTCTTCCTGGAGGGCGTGCGCGCCGTCGCCGACGCCAGCCACCTGAGCTGGCGGCTGCTGGACGTGGTCACGCTGGAGCTGGGGCCGGGCGAGCAGCGCGCGCGCACCCAGCGCCTGCTGCGCCAGCTCGACGCGCCGGTGTTCGTGGCCTACTGCTCGCGCGAGGAGGCCGAGGTGCTCTTCGCCGAGGCGGCGCAGGCCGGCCTAGTGGGGCCCGGCCACGTGTGGCTGGTGCCCAACCTGGCGCTGGGCAGCACCGATGCGCCCCCCGCCGCCTTCCCCGTGGGGCTCATCAGCGTCGTCACCGAGAGCTGGCGCCTCAGCCTGCGCCAGAAGGTCCGCGACGGCGTGGCCGTCCTGGCCCTGGGCGCCCACGGCTACCGGCGCCAGCACGGAACCCTGCCAGCCCCGGCCGGGGACTGCCGCGCCCACCCTGGGCCCGTCAGCCCTGCCCGGGAGGCCTTCTACAGGTGGGCACCTGCCCGGGGCATAGGTATGGGAGGTGGGGAGCACTTCGGGGGACCTGGGTGGCAGTGAGCTTGGGCTGGCTGGCCACACCTCCCACTAGCTGCTTGCCTGGGGTCACAGCCACATTACCCCACCTGTTTGGGCCTTAGTGTCCTCATCTGAAAAAACAGCAGGTGTCAGGGTGTGTCGAGGACCGTGGGGCCAATACAGGGAAGCACTTTGAACAATAAATACAATCAATGCCACCTGCTGCTGGTGGCGGTGGTGAGGTAGAGGCAGGGGGTGTCTGGTCCTTGGCAGGGCTGCAGGCATCTCTCCCCTCTGGCAGGCACCTTCTGAATGTCACCTGGGAGGGCCGAGACTTCTCCTTCAGCCCTGGTGGGTACCTGCTCCAGCCCACCATGGTGGTGATCGCCCTCAACAGGCACCGCCTCTGGGAGATGGTGAGAAGGGGGTGAGCCCAGGGGCCCTCAGTGTCCTCTCATTTTGTCCTTGCCTCCTCTTGTGCCCACAGCTAAGCAGAGAGTCCCTCTGTCCCTTATCCAACCCCTCATCTTCTAGGTCTCAGCTGAAACAAACATCTCCATTGGGAAGCCTCCAGGTGCCCCAGGGTGGGTGAGGGGCCCTGCTCTGGGCTCCCATAACACCCCAGCTTTCCTCCACTATAGAACATTTCGAGCGCTCCTATCTCCTGGTCCTGCCCCTGCAGGAGTAACCCATGCCCATGCTGGCCAGACAGGCTTGTAAACAATACAGAGAGACCAGTGCTTGAGTAGACATGTGCAAAACATTGTGGGATTAGAGATGAGGAACAGGAATTAGTTCTGCCTTCAAAGGAAGAAACTAGGGAAGATGTCCCAGAAGATGGGATATTTGAGCTGGATTATGGAGGTTTGAGTAGGAGCCCATCGGAAAGAGGTGTTAGCCTGATCTAGACAGAGGGGCAGAAAGGTTTGGGGCATTTTTCAGTGATGCAGGGGTGTGTTTGGGGGTATGGAGACAAAGGAAGTAGAAGTGATGGGGGGACATTGAACCTGAGCATGAAGTGCCTTGAGTCAGGGTCAAGGGGGGACCAGTACAGTGAGTGAGACAGGGTCAGGTCTGGGCTTTAGGAAGATGCTGTGGGTCAGTGTGGGGCTGGATTGGAGAGCACAGGGACCTGACTCGCCAGGAGGCTGTCGGGAGCAGCCCTATTCTGACCTGCCCCAGTGTCACTAGGTTAGAGAGGGGGATTCTTGGCCCTGGCAGGCTCCACCTAGAAGCCCCACCTAGAGGGTGGGGGTTGCAGGGCTGAAGGCTCCAGGCTGAAGCTGTCACCCTCCACAGGTGGGGCGCTGGGAGCATGGGGTCCTATACATGAAGTACCCCGTGTGGCCTCGATACAGTGCCTCTCTGCAGCCTGTGGTGGACAGTCGGCACCTGACGGTGGCCACGCTGGAAGAGCGGCCCTTTGTCATCGTGGAGAGCCCCGACCCTGGCACAGGAGGCTGCGTCCCCAACACTGTGCCCTGCCGCAGGCAGAGCAACCACACCTTCAGGTCTGCGGGTGCCCTGGGAGGCTGGTGTGAGCTGGGTGCCATTGTGTGATGGTCAGGTGTTGTGTGCGTCTCATGCTTGGGTGTGGGGCAGGGGTCCGAGTGCCAGGCTGGGAGGAGCAGCTGGGGCAGGGCTGGGCCATGACCTGCTCTGACTCCTGGTGGTCTCATGGCGGTGGCTGCAGCAGCGGTGATGTGGCCCCCTACACCAAGCTCTGCTGTAAGGGCTTCTGCATCGACATCCTCAAGAAGCTGGCCAGGGTGGTCAAATTCTCCTATGACCTGTACCTGGTGACCAATGGCAAGCATGGCAAGCGGGTGCGCGGCGTGTGGAACGGCATGATCGGGGAGGTAGGCCCCGTCCCATTCCCATTTTGCCTGCCCTGCCTGCTCGTCTGCTGCCCAGACCCCACGGGGCTTTCAGATGTCCTCTAGAGGGGGGCATGGGCTGTCACCAGTGATGACTCCTGTGGTGGTCAGTACTGAAAGCCGAGCTCTGAGGGCCCCAGAGGGAACAACCGACTCAGCCGGTGGGTGCTGGAGGGGTGCCTGGAAGCGCCTGTGCAGCATGTCCACACCTCGGAACCCCCTCTTTCAACCCCCCAGGTGTACTACAAGCGGGCAGACATGGCCATCGGCTCCCTCACCATCAATGAGGAGCGCTCTGAGATCGTGGACTTCTCTGTGCCCTTTGTGGAGACGGGTATCAGCGTGATGGTGGCTCGAAGCAATGGCACTGTCTCCCCCTCGGCCTTCTTGGGTGAGGCCCAGGGCGGACAGGGATGGCTCCAGGGGCAGTGGGGCCCATGAGGAGGGTGTGTACAGCTTGGGTGGAGATGGGGAGTGGGTGGGCTCTCAGAGGCCTGGCACAGCAGCCAGGTTGGCTGGAGGTGAGTGGAGAGGAGAGGGGAGAGGTGAGGTGGATGTTGGGTTCTAGGTATGGCTGCCCGGCCAGGGTCAGGTTGGAGGAGTGGGATAGGTGGTGGTGCCACTGTGAGTGACAGGAAAACCAGACAGGCAGGCTGGCCTCAGGAGGGGCTGTGGGGCAGGGCTGTGGAACAGGGTGGGAGGCCCATGGGGAGTTGAGGAGTGAGTGTAGCATGGGAAGAGGTGTGTTCCTTCCTGGGTGAGGAGTCCAGCATTGGCTGGGCAACCCCCTTGTGCCAGGTCCTATGCTGGGTGCTGGGGTTATAGCCATGGTCCTTGCCTTCCGAGAGTGCCAGTCAGAGGCCAGGCGGGACATGCAGCATGAAGTCGTAGAGAGCGGTGAGGACAGGAGGAGGGCAGGGGAAGAGCTGAGGCTGGCCAGACAGGAGTTGGAACACCAGCTCTGCCCTGTCCTGCAATGTGGCTTTGGGCAAGTCACAAAAGCTCTCTGAGCAGACTCCTCATCCACTGGAGAGAGGAAGAAACCCCACTTCATAGCATAGCAAGTGTTCATGGCGGGAGTGACTGCCCTCCTTCCCTCTCTCTCTCCCTCCCTCCCTCCTTCCCTCCCTCTCTCCCTCCTTCCCTCCCTCTCTCCCTCCTTCCCTCCCTCTCTCCCTCCTTCCCTCCCTCTTTCCCTCCTTCCCTCCCTCTTTCTCTCCCTCCCTCCCTCTCTCCCTCCTTCCCTCCCTCTCCTTCCTTCCCTCCCTTCCTTCTTTTTTTTTTTTTAATTTGGAGATGGGGTCTTCCTTGTCACCCAGGCTGGAGTGCAGTGGTACCATCTCGTCTCACTACAGCCTGGAACTCCTGGGCTTGTGATCCTCCCACCTCAGCCTCTTGAGTAGCTGGGATCACAGGTACACACTGCCACACCTGGCTACTTTTTGTACTTTGTGTAGAGACTGGCCTTCACTATGTTGCCCAGGCTGGTCTCCGAATTCCTGAACTCAAGCAATCCACCTGCTTCAGCCTCCCAACGTGATTTTATTTATTTATTTATTTCTCTTTCTCTTTCCTTATTTCTTTCCCTCCCTCCTTCTTTCTCTTTCTCTCTCTCCCTTCCTTTCTTTCTTTCCCTCCTTCCCTTCCTTTCTCTCTCTCTTTCCCTCCTTCCCTCCCTCCCTCTTTCCCTCCTTCCCTCCCTCCCTCTTTCCCTCCTTCCCACCCTCCCTCTTTCCTTCCTTCCTTCCTTTTTTCCTCTCACTCGGTCACCCAGGCTGGAGTGCAGTGGTGCAATCTCAGCTCACCGCAACTGCCACCTCCTGGGTTCAAGGATTCTCCTGCCTCGGCCTCCTGAGTATCGGGGATTGCAGGCATGTGCCACCATGCCTACCTTATTTTTGTATTTTTGGTAGAGACGGTTTTGCCGTGTTGGTGAGACTGGTCTTGAACTCCTGATCTCAGGTGATCCGCCTGCCTCAGCCTCCCAAATCGCTGGGCTTACAGGCGAGAGCCATCGAACCCAGCCAGAAGTAGTAAATTCTTACTCTAGGAGATAGGAACAGTCTTGTTCGGGGCCTGGGGTGTGTGTCTCCAGTTCTCCAGGCGTGAGTTTCCATGTTGGTGGGATGAGCAACAAGACTTGGCCTCGGAGGCTCTGATTCTGGGCAGAACCACCAGATTGGCCACTCCGGGCAGGGCAGGGTTTGTGAACTCAAAGGAACATTTCTTAGGGTGGGTGACTTGTACCTGTCCCAAAGAAGTTGGGGTTGGGGAGACACCAAGGATGCTGGAGAGCCTGACCTCTTTTGGGGACCTCTCCTGGGGCTCTGCTGCTCTGAGTCAGGGGCCCCCTTGGCTGGGTCTGCAGAGCTGGTGGGCGCCTACTTTGAACATGTGGACCCACCTGTCTCCACCCAGTGCTTCTGGGCTGGGGGCAGGGGACACACCGAGGCCTCTGAGCTGCCTCCCTCTGTCCCCAGAGCCGTACAGCCCTGCAGTGTGGGTGATGATGTTCGTCATGTGCCTCACCGTGGTGGCCATCACAGTCTTCATGTTCGAGTACTTCAGCCCTGTCAGTTACAACCAGAACCTCACCAGAGGCAAGAGTAAGCTTCGCCTGGGGCTGGGAGGAGGGTGGGGCTTGGAGGTGCACATCGCCACACCTGGTGGAGAAGGGCACCCTGAAGGCTGGGCTCAGGGGCAATGGGTCCTCCAGAGAATACCTGTGGGAAGTCCCTGGCCTTCGGATGACACATGCTGGGGGCCAGATGAGACAGACACATGGGGACACACACACACACACACACACACACACACGCGCCGGTGAGCTGACTTGACCTGGCAAGGGAATGGCAAGGGATGGATCCCCCACAAGGCCAGGCTGAGACCAGAGCTGTGGAGTCGGGTGGGCTGAGCTAAGCCCTTTCATGGTGGGCAGGAGGAGCCCCAGCGTCCCCCTCTTGCCCCCAGAGTCCGGGGGCCCATCTTTCACCATTGGCAAGTCTGTGTGGCTGCTGTGGGCGCTGGTCTTCAACAATTCAGTGCCCATCGAGAACCCCCGGGGCACCACCAGCAAGATCATGGTTCTGGTTTGGGCCTTCTTCGCTGTCATCTTCCTTGCCAGCTACACGGCCAACCTGGCCGCCTTCATGATCCAGGAGCAGTACATCGACACTGTGTCCGGTCTCAGTGACAAGAAGGTTGTGGGGTTGTGGCTGGTGGGGGTGGGGGGACACTGAGGGTGGGGACAGGCTGTGAGTGGGCAGACCCAGGAATGTGAGCTGGAGGTTGGAGCAGGAAGAAGCTTCAGGGCCTGCTGAGGAGGGGCTGGGGTCTGGGGCAAGAGATGATTCAGAGCCACTGACCAAGAGGCCTTGGGTAAGTCTCTCTCTGTCTCGGGCCTCAGAATTTCCATTTGGAAAACACAAGAGTGGCCTGGACAGCTGTTAGGACCTTCTGCTCTGACAATGCAAGTCCAACTGTGGGGCTCGGCTCTGGGCTGGGTTTGGGGCTTTGGTGCCTGGAAGGCTGGAGGAAGGGTTGTGACTGGCTGCTGCCCTCCGCCTGCAGTTTCAGCGGCCTCAGGATCAGTACCCACCCTTCCGCTTCGGCACGGTGCCCAATGGCAGCACGGAGCGGAACATCCGCAGTAACTACCGAGACATGCACACCCACATGGTCAAGTTCAACCAGCGCTCGGTGGAGGATGCACTCAGCAGCCTCAAGATGGGGTGGGTCCCGGCACTGCACCCACCGTCTCCATCCACTGGTGTCTCCCCAGTGGCCACCTTAGCTCCCCATGTAGGGACAGTGGGGCTGGGCTGTCCTGCAGACTCTTGAGGGGTGGAGGGAGATCTTGGGGCATAGTGGAGCTTGAAGCACAATGGAAGCCACCACCACGTGTCTCAGAACACAGCTGTGGTGCCGATCAGTGTTCAGCCTCAGCCTGAGGAGGTGGCTGGGACATTCTCTGAGTTTTAGGGGTGTGGAGGGGGTGAGCAGAAAGGGTTGTGTGTTTTCTGGGAAAAGACAGTTCCCTGGTCTCTCTGTGGAGGAGGGTGGGAGGGGTCCTCGCTGCATCCAGGACCCAAGAGAACCAGACAAGTCTCCGCCCACTCATCCCTCCCGGGGGTGCCCAGCAGGCTCATGTGATTCGGACCCCTGTCACGCCCCAGTGTCGGTGCCCCCTCCCCTCCCATATGGTCCCTAGCTCTGAGGCTCAGCCTGTCCCCAGGAAGCTGGATGCCTTCATCTATGATGCTGCTGTCCTCAACTACATGGCAGGCAAGGACGAGGGCTGCAAGCTGGTCACCATTGGGTCTGGCAAGGTATTTGCCACCACTGGCTACGGCATTGCCATGCAGAAGGACTCCCACTGGAAGCGGGCCATAGACCTGGCGCTCCTGCAGTTCCTGGGGGACGGTGGGTACTGCTACTGCTGGGGTGTCCAGGGCGGGCTGTGGAGCCCATGGTGGTCAGCATCTCCACACCACTCAAGTCCCCAAGGCCTGTGGGCAGGGAGTGGTCTCTGGCAGGTGAGAGGTTGGGACAGTTGAGGGGGGCAGGTACTAGGAGCAATTAGAGACAGACCCGAGAAAGGGATAGGCGGGAAGGAGCAGGAACTGGGCTGGAGAGTCCCTGAAGGGCAGGAAGGCAGGAAGGGGCTCAGGCCTCATGGTGGGGGCGGGGTGGGGTGGCTGATCTCCTTTCTTCTGCCCTAAGGCCCCTCCCATGTTCCCTCCCAGATGAGCACCTCCTTTGCTCAGTAGAGTATCTCCATGGCCATCTTGAGATTACCTGGGGTAGTACGAACCTGCCTAGTCCCACATATGTGAGTGTCCAGCCCAGCCTGTCTGCAAACCCAGAGACAGCTTGAGTTTAGAGGAGTTCCATCCTTGTTAGATAAGACATGGTCTGGACCGGGTGTGGTGGCTCATGGCTCTAACCCTAGCACTTTGGGAGGCTGAGGTAGGAGGATTACTTGAAGCCAAGAGTTTGAGACCAGCCTGGGCAACACAGCAAGATCCTGTCTCTATAAATAAAAATTTTAAAAATTAGCCAGGCATGGTGGCACGCACCTATAATCCCAGCTACTTGAGAAGCTGAGGCAGGAGGATCCCTTGAGTGCAGGATTTTGAGGCTGCAGCGAGCTATAGGATTGTGCCACTGCACTCCAGCTTGGGTGACAGAGTGAGACCCTGTCTCAAAAAAAAAAAAAAAAAAAAAAAATCGGATTTCTCAAACCATATAAGAATGAGAGCAGCCAGGTGAGGTGGCTCATACCTGTAATCCCAGAACTGTGGGAGGCCAAGGTGTGAGGATTGCTTGAGTCTAGGAGGTCAGGATCATCTGAGACAATGTGGGGATATCTCATCTCTACAAAAAATACAAAAATTAGCCAGGTGTGATGGCATGCCGGTAGTCACAGCTACTCACGGGGCTGAGGTGGAAGGATTGCTTGAGCCTAGGAAATCCAGGCTGCAGTGAGCCATGATCACACCACCGCACTCCAGCCTGGGTGACAGAGCACGACTGCCTCAAAATAATAATAATGACAGTGATCACAATGCGTGTCTCTTAGGAGCTGAGGCCTTTTGTCTCCATGTGCCCAGCTCCATGAGTGACATGTAGATGGTGAAGAAGTTTATGAAGATGAGTGAATGAATGGATGCTAACATTTACCCAGTCCACAAGCCTTTACTAGGGGTGCACAGCAGAAGGACCCAAAGACCAGCATTGCCCACCCCAGCCTCTACCCTCCTTTCCTATTTCCTTGCTCACTGACCCTCCACCCTCTGCCCCACCATCCTGTTCCAGCCAGGCTGGATCCCTGTGTGGTCTGCTTGAGGAAGAAGGGGGTGGTGCTCTGGCCCCAGATCCCTTCTTACTCCAGGCTTGTGGCGAGCTTTGTGAGGGGGTTGCTATAGTTTCCTGAGCCAGATGTACCCCCCTCACCCACTCCAGGAGAGACACAGAAACTGGAGACTGTGTGGCTCTCAGGGATCTGCCAGAATGAGAAGAACGAGGTGATGAGCAGCAAGCTGGACATTGACAACATGGCGGGTGTCTTCTACATGCTGCTGGTGGCCATGGGGCTGGCCCTGATGGTCTTCGCCTGGGAGCACCTGGTCTACTGGAAGCTGCGCCACTCGGTGCCCAACACATCCCAGCTGGACTTCCTGCTGGCTTTCAGCAGGGTGGGTGCCTGCCCCTCCCCACACAGGCCGCAGCTTTAAGGGCACCTACCCAGATAAGTCCAGGCTGGCCATGGCCCATTCCCAGAGGTAAAAGCCAAGGTTCTGGCCGGGCTCGTGGCTCACGCCTGTAATCCCAACACTTTGGGACGCTTAGGCTGGTGAATACCTTGAGTCCAGAAGTTCAAGACCAGCCTGGGCAACATGGCGAAACCCCATCTCTACAGAAAATAAAAGAATTAGCTGGGTGTGGTGGTGCGCGCCTACAGAGCCAGCTACTCAGGAGGCTGAGTTGGGAGGATCGCTTGAGCCCAGGAGGCAGAGGTTGCAGTGAGCTGAGACAGCACCACTGCACTCCAGCCTGGGCAACAGAGTGAGACCCTGTTTCTAAAACAAACAAAAAAACCCAAAGTCCTAAGAGGTGGCATGGCTCACCAGAGTGGCAGAGTTGAAGAGGGGGAGAGCCCTCCCTCCACACAGGTGTGCCCAGGTTGGAACCCTCACGTGCCAGGTGTTAGCTAGAGTGATTAGGAGAACGAGTTAATCACTGGGCGCTCAGACCACATTCATCTGCAAAGCCCATGGGAGACGCTTCACAATTAGCTGCTTCCTGAGACTTAGAGAAGGCTGATGATGTCTTGGGACCAGGGGGAGACTATCGAGGTGGGTCCCTGAGCGGAGGGCGCTCACAGCATGTCGTCTCCTACTGCCCAGGGCATCTACAGCTGCTTCAGCGGGGTGCAGAGCCTGGCCAGCCCACCGCGGCAGCCCAGCCCAGACCTCACGGCCAGCTCGGCCCAGGCCAGCGTGCTCAAGATGCTGCAGGCGGCCCGCGACATGGTGACCACGGCGGGCGTGAGCAGCTCCCTGGACCGCGCCACTCGCACCATCGAGAACTGGGGTGGCGGCCTCCGTGCGCCCCCACCGCCCCCCTGCCCGACCCCGCGGTCCGGCCCCAGTCCGCGCCCGCCCACTCCCGGCCCGCCCCCAGAGCCGAGCCCCAAGGGCTGGGGACCGCCAGACGGGGGTCGCGCGGGGCTTGTGCGCAGGGCTCCGCAGCCCCCGGGCCGTCCCCCGACGCCTGGGCCGCCCCTGCCAGATGTCTCCCGAGTATCGCGCCGCCCAGCCTGGGAGGCGCGGTGGCCGGTGCGGGCGGGGCACTGCGGGAGGCACCTCTCGGCCTCCGAGCGGCGCGCGCTCCCACAGCGGCCCCTGTCGCCCGCGCTCTGTCACTACAGCTCCTTTCCTCGAGCCGACCGATCCGGGCGCCCCTTCCTCCCGCTCTTCCCCGAGCCCCCGGAGCCGGAGGACCTGCCGCTGCTCCGGCCGGAGCAGCTTGCTCGGCGGGAGGCCCTGCTGCACGCGGCCTGGGCCCGGGGCTCGCGCCCGCGCCACGCTTCCCTGCCGAGCTCCGTGGCCGAGGCCTTCGCTCGGCCCAGCTCGCTGCCCGCCGGCTGCACCGGCCCCGCCTGCGCCCGCCCCGACGGCCACACGGCCTGCAGGCGGTTGGCGCAGGCGCAGTCGATGTGCCTGCCGACCTACCAGGAGGCCTGCAAGGAGGGCGAGCAGGCAGGGTCCCCGGCCTGGAGGCACAGGCAGCACGTCTGCCTGCACGCCCACGCCCACGCCCACCTGCCGTTTTGCTGGGGGGCAGTCTGTCCTCACCTCCCACCCTGTGCGAGCCAGAGTTCCTGGCCCACTGGGGCCTGGGGGTCTCTGGGGCACAGGGGTAGGACTCTGGGGCTGGGCACAGGCTACAGGGACAGTGGGGGACTGGGCGGGGTCAGCAGGGTAGCCTGTGGGACGCAAGGCTTCCTGGGACCCTGTACCTGGAGGCGGATCTCCAGTCTGGAGTCAGAAGTGTGAGTTATCAGCCACTCAGTCTCCTAGCCACCTGGATTCTCTGCCTGACACTGTCAGGGTTAAGGGGCAGGCAGGATTGGGCTTTTCTGGCTTCTACAATGAAATCCTGGCCATTCAACCCCAGTGACAGATGATATCTTCCATGGTCAGCTCGGTGACCTCAGCAGCCTCAAATCATGGTGTGGGCTGGGCTTTTGCTGTCCTCTTGTCATGCAAAGTTCTGCCAGGAGGGTGTGCTGTGGGGGTCAGACCCTGAGGCTCTCTCTGCCCTGGGGCTGGCCGGTTCCTGGTCATGGCTGCTGTGGGCATGGAGGCTGGAACCTGTGGTTGAGGCAGGGCTATCCTGATCCTTGCTCTGCCTGGCTGGAGTTTCTTCTCATCAGAGCACTGGGACATTAAACCAACCTTTTACAACCCACTGGTCCTGGCTGCTTCATTCTGCATTCTGGCGGGGGAACCGCACAGCCAGTAGACAGTAGTGTCATGGGAATATCCCAGGTGGGGTGTTTGCCTAAAGCAGGTGGGCAGCTCCCTGTGAGGGAGCCTTGGGAGGGATGTGGTAAGGAGGTGAGGCTGAGGGGGGGCTCTGGGCAGCAGAGACTACTTGGTATTCAGGGCCAGCTCCCACCCATCCTGGCACTGGATGTGACACGTGTGCTCAGCATAGGGGCTCTGGTGATGATGGATGGAGTTCAGCTCTCAGTCTCCTTGAAAAGGGAGGCTTGTGCCGGGGGTGGTGGCTGTCCTGCCCTACCAGGGATGTCCGGGGGAGCCTGCCAGTGCCGCGGTGGCAGAGGCAGAGAAAGGTGGGAGCTTGTGGGCTTGCTGAACCCTGGCTGGCTACGTTCTCTCTGTGGCTGACACGCGAGGCTCATAACTGCCTGGGCTCTGAATCCTGGTGCAGGTGGCTGCCAGGGTCAGGCACAGCTTGGCCTTGCTGGTGCCAGGACTCCTGTGGCGAGAGAATCTGCCTGCGGTCTTATCCTCCGTCCTCCCTCTGGGGCTTCCAGCCCACTTCCTTTTACTATCACACCTCTTTGGCCCATCTGAAAAAATGGCTTTTGCTTATCATTTTCAGTGTTTTCACATCTGCAATTACATTTATTCCCACTACAGTGACTGTGGAGCAAGCAGGCGTTCATTCTTCTATCCGTTCCACCAACAGTGAGCACTATTGATTCTGTCAGACCCTTTCCTCACGGCTGAGGATGTAAAGGCCAAGCCCCAACAAGTTGGTTGGAGGCAGGGCAGAGGCTAATTCCACGTGACAGAGGAAGCCGGGAGGGGCAGTGCTGGCTTTCTCTGCCAGTGCCCTCCCACACAGCTCCTTGCTGGTTCCCAGGAAGCCAGGTTGACTCTTTTAGTCTCTGAAGACCCTACTGCTTGGGTTGGGGCCGTGAGAACTGGACTTCTTTGGGGTTAGTTTTAGGGGTGAAGGCAGCTGAAATGGTGGGGAGGGATACACCTCCATTCTTGATGGGAGAGTAACTACCCCAGAATGGGTGACCCTGTCCAAGTTCACGCTGTCTACCCTATGCGTTTTCACGGGCTGGAGCCAGGTCCAGGACAGCAGGTGGGGAATGTGCCTAGGTGAGTGCTGGAGGCCAGCACTCTGGAGGGGAGGCACTTGACCTTGGTTGCAGCCACTAGTGGTGAGGGGGTTAACAGTTGGCCACCAGCCCCTGGAACCGACCCCCTCCTCCTCCCCGGAGTCAGGGTCTGCCTTTGGCCCTGGGAGGAAGGTTGCAGCAGGTGAGGCAGCTGGGAGGAGCTGTGAGGTCAGGGCTGCTCCGCTCTCTGCCCAAGATCATTAATAACCAAGAACTGGAAAGATCATTAAGAGCTGAGCCTCCAAGTGGAGCTGAGCCTGCTGCTGACTCTGAGGAGGGGCGACTCCTGCTCCCAGGCCAGGCCCTGGCTGCCTTGTACCTTCTCTAGAAATATATTTGGCAGGGGGGATGGGAGGGGGTGGGGATGCAGGGAGAATATGAGTCCTGGGGGACAGGTAGCAGGAAGAGTACATCCTGAGTTCAGAACTAGCTTGGCCTGGCTTCCTGTACCACCAACGGAAGGGAAGAAAGCCTGGCAGGGGAGAGACAGAAGTAAGGCCATAGATGTGTAATCATCATAAGCAAGGGCCTGGAGACCCAGACGCTCAAATACTGCCTTTTTTCTTTTGGTGAGATACAGGAAGAGAGAGGCCCTTGCTGCTGGTCTCAGAGCAGGAAAATCTTACTAACTGGGGTCCCTTCTGCTGCTGCTGTAGCTGTTTTTCCTTGTATCTAGCTGAGTGGCTTGTGGCCCAAGCCAGCTTTCTGCAGGGAGCCAGTTGTGTGTGAGAGAGAAGCGCAGAGTTTGGAAAAGGGCAGGCTGATGCCAGGACCCTCCAGCCTAGCCTGTCCTGCTCTTTGAAAGGGAAGGACTGTCCTCTAGTTTCCTAGGGGACGGGGGACCCAGAGACAACCCTTCTCCCCAAAGCCCTCTAGATTCCAGAGAATTCAGGCCAATTTCCTGTTTCTGAATTGCAATCTGGCGACAACTCAGCTCATTAGGAGGCTAAGAAACCAAGCAGGTGTCCTCACGAGTCAGGGCCGCTGGCTGCAAGTGCAGGTGTGGCTGGCGAATGGTGTGGGAGACAGGTGTCACTGAACAGCTTTATTGAGCACTTTAACCCCCACAACCGACCAGTGACACAGCCACTGTTACCCCACTTTACACATGAGGAAGGATAGGTCACGGAGGCTTTCTGCTTGCAAGTGGCAGGCCTGGCTGCCTGATCCACACAGAAAAGTACCCAATGCCATGCCTGGCACATAATGACCCTCAGTGGAGGTTACCCCTCCAGTGGGCAATCAATACCACTGGCCCAGACGGAAGGGATCCCAAGCTCTCTCCAGCTTTCCAGTGGCCCTTAACCATGGGTCACCCTTGCTTGGGAATCTGCCGCCTAGACAGGACGCCTCCACTTTCCCCAGGCCTGGCACTGCCAGTCACTGCCCCTCTGCAGTGGCTTTCCAGGAGTGGGGTAGCAGCCCCCATCCTCCCCTCTGACTCTGGCTACTGCCTGTTGCCGAGGCTGCTCCTGGCCTTGTGGTGAGAACAGCTGTGTGGCTAGGGGCCTGGCACAGTGCCACAGCCCACCTCCATCACCCAGCAGTGCCTCCCAGTCTGTCACCTGCCACCTGCCCCATCTTTAATCTTGCAGCCACTGCTCTAGCCTCAGGTGAGGAACAGGCAGGAGCTGCTGGCACAAGGTGCTGGGGCTCAGGTGGGTCTGGTGCTTCTGTAGGGAGGGAGGCAAAAAACGTTTACTCCCACCTTGACCTGGCCTGCCCCTGGGGGCATCTGGGGCCATGCAGGTGGCGGACAATGGGTAGAGGCTACTGGTTTTAAGCTTTCCTCCACAGCGACACCCGTTCCTGGGTCAGGCTGAGCGGCATCCTCTTCTGCTCTCTCCACCACTGATCCTGGGGCACATCTGCATAATGGAAACCACAACCTAAACTTGCCTACTTTGCTAAGCTGATGATGGCTGCAGTTCAATGTGCCTCATACACATGGAGAGCCAGCATCACCTGGGACTGTCTTGCTGCTGTGGTCCTCTGCCCCTGGCCCCAATCCCTGCTGGCTGTCAGTGGCGGAAGCCTGGCATCCATGGAAAGGAGGGTGACCCCATCTGACTTCTAGCAGGAGGACACTGAGGAGCAAAGCAGCTTGACAACAGCAGTGGGGAGGGTCCCCGTTTGGCTTCAGCAATGTGGTCACTGCGGGCCTGTTCCCTCCAGGGCTGGGGCTGCCTCGGCTCAGAGGTGGCAGGGAGCACAGCCACCTACTCCACGGCTGGGCAGCTCCAGACTGTCGCATAAATCAACCTGGGCTTTATGAAGCTAATGAATTTGCTCCAAAATTTGGTTTGGAGCCTGGGGCGGCAGGATGATTCAATCTGCTTTGTCTATAAGCGAGAGGGAATGTAACCGGAGAAGGGGAATTCCAGATGCTTTCAGTTTTCAGCAAACAACTGGGCAGCTCTAGAGAGAGCCCAGGCCACAGGAGTGAGGCCAGGTCTTCCTTGCTCTTGGCCTGGCCACTGCAGGCCTCTGCTCTACCCACCCTGAGGGGCATCCTGGGAGGAGCCACAATGGCAGATGGAGAAGGGGCATTTGTTTTTCCTGTGGATGGAAAATAATGACACATGGGGACAAGCTGTGAGGACTGCCAAGGGGTGACGGCAGTGAGAAAGCAGACTGAGGCCAATTACATCTTGAGGGGCTCTCCCAGGCTTCAGCTGCCAGGGCAGAGGTGGTGCTACCTGCAGGCTCCCCACATTTCCTGCAAATCCCACATCCCCCTGATCCTGAGACCACTTTGGGCCCCAGGAGACCCTGCATTGTTGCTCTGTCAGAGGTCTGAAGACGGTGAAACGCAGGGGAGGGGCTGAGCAAGGCACTGAACTCAAAAGAGGGAGGGGTGGGGCCTGAGACCCACCCCAGAGAGGCAGCTCCAGGCCAGCGGCTCTGGGTTCTAGGTGGGACCAGGCCCAGGGCTGGGGGCAAGCCAGTGAGGGTCAGGAGGACCCCCAGGTCCTGAAACAGTAGAAGGCACGTTGAAAATGCAGAGTTCATTCGAGTCACCTGTGTTTCCCGGGAGGCCAGCCCAGCAAGTGTGTGCACGGCTGAGTGGGAGGTGGCTGGGGACCTGGCCTCCTTCCACGAGAATGGCAGCAGGGGCCCATTCAACCCCACATTGCCCAAGGGACACAGAGTGTGTGAACACCGAGCACCCATGCCCAGCCCCTAAGGGAGTCACCTTTGGTGCTGGAGTGGGAGCAGGGGCAGCCTGACTGCCGTCAGGGTGGGAACCTCAGAGTCCTCCCACTGCCATGTCACTGCCAAACCTTGGAGGTGCCAGGTGGGGATGGCTTTCCTCTAGTAGGACCACCGGCACTATAGGAGGCCCTGAGGGCTCCAGCGGGGTATCGAGGGCAGCAGAGGGTCCCTTTCAGCGACAAGCTCCAGACTTTAGGCCTAGCTGGCAGGTGGCCGTGTCCCTGTAGATGGCACACTCCATCCAGCCTGCTACTCTGGAGCTCGTGCCCACAGAGAGTGCCTTTGCAGCTCTGTCTGGGACTCTGGTACCAGTTAGCACTTCTTGTTCTTGTCAGGGGACCAGCCAGGCCCTTGCTGAGGCAGCGCCTAGCGCCTCCTAGGCCTGGTGGGAGGGTGACCTCTGCTGTCACAAGCAGGCCTGGCTGGGATGCTTGCAGCCCCGGATTCACCTCTGAAGAGGCAGCAGCTGCTAGTGGAGGGTTCTGAGACAAGGATGCAGGAGGGGGCTGGAGAGGGGAGGGGCATGGGCTGGGACAAATGATGGCAGTGCCAGCACCGAATCTCCCACCCTACAGGGAGGAGCCTGCCTCTAGAGGTGGGGTGGGGGCGTGAAGCATGTTGGAGAATTTGGGAGAGGGATGTGATTCCAGTAATGAGTCCTAGATCTTGGGAGCAGCCATGTGTCACCCAGGCAGGAGGACCTGATAGGAGAGCAGCCGGGGGGAATGAGGCCAGGTGCAGACTGGGTGGAAGGTGGGGTGGGGAGAAGACCCCCAGCTGGACAGAGGGTTTCCCCCTAGAGCCACAGTCCCACCTGTCCCATGGAGACCTGGGAGCAACTCAATCTGGGCTCTGCAGGTGAGGGGTGGGGCTGGGCACCCTATGCCTCCCACCACCAGACCTGCCTGTCCTGCCATCAGAGCTGGGTCTCGCTGAGGACGATATTGGCCGTGACAAAGATGAAGCAGGAGAAAGCCCAGAGCAGCACGAAACCCACCCAGAAGGTGTGGCGGAAAGGTGACCTGTGCTTGTTGCTGACTCCGCAGCCAAAGGCCAGTTGGGTGTCCCTGCGGCAGTGGTACACCAGGAAGGCGGGGATGACGTACTGGATGCCGGTGCCTGCGTAGGCCCCTGTGATGCCCACCAGGGACTCCAGGTCATGGGTGCAGAAGGCCACCAGCACGGGCGGCACCAGGGTGATGGTGGGAAACACGACGCGGTCCACCACCCATGGGTATGTGCCGCCCTCGCGGTGGAAAAGCGTCTTCCAGTTGTTGCGCAGGGTCACGGCAATGATGGGGAAGTTGGTGCTGATGGTGAAGACGGGGAAGAGGCCCAGGAAAAAGCGCACGGCGGCCAGGCCCACGACATCACAGCGTGCAAAGTTGAGGGTGTACATGTCCATGAGGCTGTCGCCTCGGAAGCAGAAGATGGCGGTGAAGGAGAGGAGGCCATAGAAGGCCAGGATGAGCACGTAGTCCAGGAACACTAGCCTCGTGAGGTGGCGCTTGGAGGAGACAGGCGTGACAAGGGATGGCAGGGAGTGTTGGCACATGAAGGAGTAGACGCACACCCCAAACAGGTTCCGGACCCCTGAGAAGTCAGCCAGGGGCGGGTGCCCCTCCCCCTGTCCGTGCCCGATTCGGACCAGGGCCAGCACAATCATGACAGCGAAAGCTGGGAAACGAGAGAGGGGAGTCAGCCAGTGGGGCACAGTCCTACCTCGGAGTTTCTGGTCTGGTGGCACCTTGTGGGGACTGGAGCCCCATGAGAAAGAATCATTAAATGCAATCATGCAGCCCTGTTCTTGGGCAGCTCAACGGTGGTTGCTCATTAGATGAAGGAGGTCCTGCATCCCTCTCTGTCCTGTTCTCCCCTCTTCCTGCTGAGCAGGGGGCCTGGGTATGCGGGGACAGGGCTGCGCTGGGGCCAGTGGCAGGGTGGCCTGGCTCTGCAGAGGTGGCAACTCTGTCTTGTTAGAGGAGGATGAGTCCTGGACAGGCACTGCATGATGTCCTGGTCAGGCACTGCCACTCCCTCATTAGCCTCCCAGGGCTCTCAGGGGCTTCCTGGCAGGGAGCAAGCTGGGTCAGGACAGAGGGTTACCCTCTATCCTTTGGTTTAAGGAATGTGAGACTGGGGAACTGGCGGGGTAGATGCAGAAGGGCAGGGAGCACTTATGAGCTGTCCTCCTGGGCCAAGGGCATCTGCTAGACACAGCTGAGGCCGACAAGCAGGAGTGCTGGGAGCCCTGGGCAGACAGGTGGGTACCCAGAGGCCAAGGGCAGGCAGGAAGTTGCCAGTGGTCATGCCAGGGCAGAAATTACACCAAGGACCCAGGCTGCGGACTGCTGAGTGCCGGGCTGCTGACACCGAGGCTGGAGGCAGGTGGCATGTGGCTCTGTTTTCCTGGGCTTGGCAGCACAGCTACAGGGACTCTGTGGAAGTGGAAGGGGGCTTGTGGCCCTATCTGTTCAGAGTGAACAGCTTGCACTGCTGATGGAGACTGGGCTGGCTTCACTTCGAAGCCTTTTATGATGGCCCTCCTTTTGGGCTGCCACCAGAGACAGGCTCACAGCACGTCCTCCAGATTGAGTTCCCCAGAGGCAGCCTGTACAGCCCAGGCACAAGGGGCTGTGTCCTGGCACTCTGAGGAGATGGCATGCTTAGATCTTTCTGCGTCTCTGGCTTCTGCCCTCTGGTCTACTCAGAACCTCGGTTAGCTATTCACACATGGAGACCACCGGTGTCCATGTCTGTTCTGAAGCTGACCAAGCCCTGTTCTCTCTGTTCAGAAGATATCTGACAGCCCTCTAGCCTGCGCCCTCACCCCTCAGGTGAAGCCCACGGGGACGTGTTACATTTCTTGGTGAGCAGCACAGGCAAGTGTGAAGGGGCAGTGGCCAAATAGGCCAGCTTGAAGCTCAGTGGCTCCTGTCTGGGGCCCAGGCAGAGCCTCGGGGCTCTTCTGCAGGTGGGCATCTGGGTACCCCATGGTCCCCTTTGGGCCAGGCACACTCCCCAACTCCTGGAAGGAAGAGGTGGTTCTGATGGGACCCACAGGGAGCCAGGCAATGTCTTCCCATAATGACACTTGGGAGTGGGATGGAATCTTCATCTATTACTTTGTATCAGAACTGCCTGACACTGCCGGGGATAGGAGGGGAGGAGGGGAATGTGGAAACCGGCCTGAGAAAATTGCCAGTAAAGAAGATGATTTGTTTCCGCCTCTCATCGCCCACTCCAGTCCCCACCACTCATGACTCTGAGGGCCTGGGGACTCTTCCTCCCCTGGCATCACACATCGTCCCAGCCCTGGTCAGTCAAGGGGAAGTGGTGACCTAGCTCCTTTGAGTCTCAGCCCAGGGAGCTGCCTCCAGCTTCTCCCACTGGGGATGGATGGCACAGGACACCTGTGGGACAGCCCAGGACCCTGAGCAATCTGCTCGCCCCAGAGATTTCTGAGGGTGGGTACGGGGGATGTGTGCAGCAGAAGCCTGTGTGGGAGATCCACCCCACAGGAGGTGTGGCATTGCAGGGTGTGCGGGAGGGGGTACCAGGGAGAGACTAGGCAGGCTGGAGGTGGAGTCCCTGTGTGCCAGAAAGGGCTACAGGGAGAGTTGAGCAGGGTGGCACTGGGGTACAGCGGGCAGACTGGGCCCAGGGGCACCTGGTGATTATTCAGGAGGCTGCAGCAGACAGTTCTGCCATCGTAGGTGGGGCATGAGGGTCAGGACAATGGGGGTAGCTGCTGTAGGGCAAGATTCAAATCCTGGACTGCCACTGCCATCTCAGGGCCCACCTTGACACCTGGCACTTGGCTCTGGCCAAGGCTGGCATGAACTTAGAAAAAGGCAAGTGGAGAATTCCTCTAGCTGTCTGTCGCTTGGCCCTGGGTCTGCTGAGCAGGCAAGAAGGCAGGAAGAGGTCAGCTGTCTGGACGTGAGCATCCCTGTCACTGCTCTCTCCTGCCCTGGACGCAGCTCATGCTTCTCTGCTCCCAGCCTTAAATCTCCAAAGAAAGGCGGCTCTCCTCACAGCCCTGACTGTGGGATTTCCTCATGGCAAATAAAGTAATTTACGAAGTAGGTTTCCAAAGAAATGAGATGAGTGTACATACACGTACCCCTGAAATGTACCCCTTCTAACTGGCATCCTCCAGAGCAGCTGTCTTGGGAAGAGCCTGCCTTTGATGCCAACAATGGTATGGAACAAACTCTAGAATCTTTGGCTAGAACAAAGCCATGGCGGCCTGGTGGAGTGGCTCACGCCTGGAATCCCAGTACCTTGGGAGGCTGAGGCAGGCAGATCACCTGAGGTCAGGAGTTTGAGACCAGTCTGGCCAGCACGGTGAAACCCCGTCTCTACTAAAAATTAGGTGGGCTTGGTGGTACATAACTGTAATCCCAGCTATTTGGGAGGCTGAGGCAGGAGAATCACTTGAACCCAGGAGGCAGAGGTTGCAGTGAGCCGAGATCATTGCATTATTGCATTCCAGCCTGGGTGACAGAGCAAAACTCCAAAAAAAAAAAAAAAAAAGAACAAAGCCATGGCCATGGGTGATTTAAAAAATGGATTTCATGGTCTTCCAGCCATAATTAGTTTCACCTCATAATGCCACTACCTAGATTAGTCACCCATTTTGTTCTTTTAATTGTCTTAAACAAGACTATTTCCAAAAACCAAGTCTACCTTCGTACGCTGGATGTTTGCTGCTGCCTGGGAGTCAGAAGCAGATGCTAGAAGCTCTTGGGAGGTGATTCCAGAGCGTTAGAAAGTAGGATGAATAGGGGGCAGGTGTAGCTGCAGGGCCGTGTGGGCCTTCGTGAGCTCCCCTTGGTCACACTCTGTGCTGCTGTCAAAAGCTCACCCAGCTGTGTGTCAGCTCGGCTGCACGGAGATGCCACCAGCTCTGGGGCTGAGCAGACAGAGTGCACACCCAGCCAAGGTGGGTCATTCACCCGTGAATCCTGACCTGTGCTCAGAGCACCCACACACCAGGACAGGGAGAGGCTGCCATGGTGAGGACTGCACCTGGGAAGGGCAGGTGGTTCTAGAAGAGCCATGGCCCCCAAAACGGGTCAGGACCAGCTTCTCAGTGGAAATGTGTCCAGCCAAGGCGGAGGGTGAACCCCAGCTACCTGGGGAGGTGGGGGCAGGGCCCTCTGGTCCCCCACCACCATGAGGCTATGAAGGCGAGTGCTGGACTCTGTCCCTTGGGAGTGGAGAGTGAAGGGAACTGTTCCAGCTGGGTCTCCAAACCAGCAAGTTCAAAAGAAACTAGCACCACCTAGAGCCTCAAGTTTTCCCGAGAGATAGAGGAAAGGGAGAGAAGGAAGGAAGGAAGGGAGGGGAAAGAGGGAGGGAGGGAAAAGAGGGAAGGAGGGAAGAAGGGAGGGGAAATAGGGAGGGAGGGAGGGAGGGAAAAGAGGGAAGGAGGGAAGGAGGGAGGGAGAGAGGGAGGGAGGGAGGGAAGGTCAGGGTCCCGACCTTGTGGGGTCCCAGGACCATGGGCACAAGGCTTAACCCCCACGGCCCACCTGGCCAGGCCCCTATGACCCACCCCTTTGTCTGGCCCCTCCCTCCCTCCTTCCCCTGGCTTCGGAAGGAGCAGAGTTCAACAGCCATCTCCTAGATTGATTGCCGAATGCCTGGGAGACAGCTGCTCCGAAAACTCATTAGGTCTGATCATAAATCAAGATGAAACGAGGATGACAGGTTGTGGAGACCCTGCCAGGATGTGTGGTAGGGAGCAGGGCTCTAAGTGCCACACTGACATCCGGGGCTCGGCCACAGCCGCTGAGACAGCTTCTGGCCACCTCGTGGAGGCTGTGTGGGAGGCCAGACGAGTGTGGAGGCGGGACAGAGCAGAAAGTGCTCCCCAGACAGCTAAGGTCAGATGTGCAGGGGGAGCCTGCCCCCAACAGGGCCGGCAGTTCCCCAAGAGCCTATCACAGGCAGTGAATGTCCAGAACACCTGTGTCCACATCCACCCACAATTCCACACTGGGAGTCCTGCTCTGAGAGGTGGGGACCAGCAGTGAGGAGCCGGGAGGAGGCAGAGGGGAGCACGGGGGAGGAGGCTTGTGTGTGACACAAGTGGCTGTTGGGCCTCAGAAGCCTCAGCTACAAAGTGACAAGGGGAGGCAGGAGACTTCTCTTTCCATATCTGAGTAAAAGCCACTGCAAAAGCCACTGCACTTGTCTTGTGTAATCCACGGGCCCAACTGGGTTAATTCCTTCAACAAGAATGGACTGTGTCTCTGTTGGGTGCTGGGCACTCTGCTGGCCGTCTGGGGACAGCAGACTGAGACAGAGGCCCTGTCTTTCCAGAGCCCAGAGTCCAGGGGACAACAGGTAGAAGGTATGGGGACAAATTACAACCAAAGACAGGGCCAATTATTAGGTATATGATGAGATCCCTGTCACGGGAGGCTGCCAAGGCCAAGGGGAGGAGACCACCTAGTTGGGGGTCCCAGAGGGAACCAGGCATCAGATGGGAGATGGAGGGCCTTTCAGGGCCATTCTACCCTACATGGCCTGTGGCTGCTGTGACTCCTCACACTTTAGGAGGAGCAGATCAATGCAGGGTGAAGATGAGGAGGGGGGCACCCAGAGGCAGAGCCTCACTGAGGGCCCATGAGGTTGCCTGCCAAGGCTGTTGGCTGCTTGCAGGC